CTCCCTGAAATCCAGAATTAACTGGATCTCTAACTGTATACTTAACCCCTCCTCTTAAATATCTACGGGGCACCTCCAACTTAACGTGTCGATGCCATGCTAGAATGTGAAGTCTATAAAGATAGGAAGCTGTACTTTATTACTATCTTTTTAAGGGTTTGAAAAAGAAACTCTTGATTTTTTTTCCTAAACGTACTCTTTCCCCAGTCTTTATTTCGGGAAATCACATCACCATCCACCCTGACAGTGAAGATAAAAAAAACACAAGAGTCGTTCTTGACTCTTCTCGCCCCCTCATCGTCTTCAAGCTATCCGATGTGCATGAAGCGCGTGGCTCTCCGGGCATGGTTAATCCGGATGCTGGCACTGCTCTCCAGCTCTGCTGTTCCCACTGTGGGAGGCTAAAAACGGCCCTCCATATATTTCCACATCCCAGTCCCCCTGTGAATATGCTACCTTACACGATAAAAGGGACTTTGCAGAAGTGATTAAATTACGTATCTTAAAATGGGGAGATTATTCTGGATTATCTGGGTGAGCTCAATGTAATCACAAGGGTCCTAATAAGAGGGAGGCAGGAGGATCTGAGCCAGAAACAGAAAGATGTAAGAGTGGAAAAACCCTGGCTGGTGTAGCTCAGTGGATTGAGCACAGGTCTGCAAATCCAATGGCCGCTGGTTCGATTACCAGTCAGGATACATGCGTCCAGGTCCCCAGTTGCGGGTGCATGAGAGGCAACCACACACATTGATGTGTCTCTCCCTTTCTTTCTCCTTTGCTATTTCTCTCCCTGTCTTTCTCCTTCCCTTCCCCTCTCTAAAAATAAATAAATAAAATCTTAAAAAATAAAAAAAAGTGGAGACCAGAGGGTGAGAAGATGCTACTCTCCTGGCTTTGCAGATGGAGGAAGGGACCCTGGGTCAGAAAGGGCAGGCAGCCTCTAGAAGCTACAAAAGTCAAGGAAACTGATTTTCTCCTAAAACCCCCAGAAGGACTACAGGCATGCCAACACTTCGATTTTTAGCCCAGTGAAATTGATTTTGGAATTCTGACCTCTAGAACTGTAGGATAATACATCTGCACTGTTTTAAGCATATACATGAGTGGTAATTTGTTATAGCAGCAATATGAAACTAATGCACCCCTGTAGCTTAAGGCATCACCACCATCTCTTTCAACAGAATCCTAACCTGGCTCTCTGTGCCCACTCTTTCTTTCCTTTTAATTGTGGTAAGAATACTCAGCATGACATCTACCCTCTTAACAGACTCTTGAACGTTCGACACAGTATTGTTACCTACAGGCAGGCACAGTGTTGTACGGCAGATCTCTAGAACTCACTCACCTTGCAAAATTGAAACTTAATACCCATTGATTAGCAAGTATCCATTTCCCTCTCTTCATCCCTGGCAACCACAATTCCACTCTCTGCTTCTGTGAATTTGACTGTTTTAGATACCTCATGTAAGTGGAACCATGCAGTATTTGTCCTTCTATTACGTGATTGGCTTATTTCACGCTGCATAATGTACCATGTTCTCACATATTGCAAGATCCTCTTTTTTAAGGGTAATATTCTCTTGTATATATTCTCTATGTCTATTTTTGACTTCTTATAACCTCTTTTCTTTTTTTTATGAAAGTTTAATTCTTCAAGAAGCTAAAAACAGATCAAACATGTTTTGCTGTGAACACTTTGTAGAGATGAAGCGAAACAGTGGTTGGGTTTAATTTTTTTTTTAATAGAATCAGTGGCCCTGGCTGGGTGTCTCAGCTGGGTGGATCATCTTCCCGATACGCCAAGGTCGCATGCCTGACTGCGGGTCAGGGCACATACAAGAAGCAACCACTGAAAATGGTGGATGTCTCAAGTCAATGCATTTTAAAAATTCAAGTTACTTTAAAAAATAAAATAAAAAGAATCAATTCAGTGATGGAAGGGTAAAGAATGCAAGAATAAAAAATGGGGAATTCTTCACGAGTCTGGGTATCACCCTTGTGCAGGGCCATGATAATCTTCCCCGTATGGTCTCAGTTTTAGTGTGTGTGCTGCTGATGGGGGCACCCTAGAACTCTTTCCACCGGAGTGTGGGAGTTGATTTCAAATCCCTCTGCTCAGAATTGTCCATTGCTGGCTTTTCGGCCATTTGGAGTAAAATCCAAACCCTTAGCTTGGCTTACAAAGCCCTCTCCTGTTCTCTTGAATTGCTCTCCCCTTGTTCACCTTCCTCTAGCCACTCTGGGCCTAGGGCCTATGGAGTAGCCATTTCTTCTATCTGGAAGCCTCCCCCTCCCCACCCCCTGCCATTCAGGTATGAACTCCAAAATCACCTGCACAGGGAGGTCTTCCGTGGTTCAAGGTTCTCCAACCTGAAATAGCATCCCCCTCGTCCCTTCCTAATGCAGAATCTCGTGGGGTTTTGTTGTTGTTGTTGTTGTTGTTGTTGTTGTTTTCTGTTTTTAAATTTATGTTAATATTTCCCATATCACTCCTGGACATTTCCTTGTTTATTCACTTGTGCATTTGTTTCTAGTCTGTCTCCGCTGGATTTTAAATTCAGTGTGAATCAGAACCTTTGTGTCTTTCTGTTGAAAGTATGTCCGGTAACCAGAGCGAGGCACATAGGAGTCGCTCCAGGAAAAGAGAGAGGAAGCACTGGCAGGGGTCCAACCTGCAGCCCACAGGCCACGTGCAGCCCAGGGAGGCTAGGAATGCGGCTCAACACCAAATCGTAAACTTACTGAAAACCCTTTTTTATGCTCATCAGTTTTTGTTACTGTTTGTGTATTTAACATGTGGCCCAAGACAATGCTTCTTCCAGTGTGGCCCAGAGATGCCAAAAGTTTGGACACCTCTGCTAGAGAGAATAGCCAGGGAAAGTCTCCCAGTAAAAATGTGTTTGTGTTCTGTGTGGATAGACGAGGGGAAAGGCTTCCCTATGAAGTTTTGCAAGAGGTTGTTCTTTCATCTCTGCAAGGTTGGCTCGTGGGCGGGATTTTGGATAAAGAATTTAGCCCAGCCCTGGCTGGCGTAGCTCAGTGGATTGAGCACAGGCTGTGAACCAAAGTGTTGCAGGTTCGATTCCCAGTCAGGGCACATGCCTGGGTTGCAGGCCATGACCCCCAGCAACAGCACATTGATGTTTCTCTCTCTCTCTCTCTTTCTCCTTCCCTTCCCTCTCGAAAAATAAATAAATAAAATATATATTTTTAAAAGAATTTAGCCCAGAAAAGGTGGAGTGGTACCCAAGTTCACATGTTTTGAGTTGGTCTTTTAGTTTTGTTCCTTATCATAAGGAAATTCAGTATCATTTAGTGAGAAATATCTAATTTTGAACAAATAATTTCATCACAAAAAAGTTAGAATTGGTGTAAAAAGAATGTATCAAATAATTGTTAGCAAAAATAATACAGGTAGGAGGGGGTAGAGCATTTAACTGCAGATTAAGAAGTCTCTGGTTCAAATCCGAATGCCCCCTCACTTGCTTTTCACATTTTCTCAAAGTAGCTCAGCTGTAACCCTGAAAAACGGACTCTGTCTCCAGTTTCCTAGGACCCACTTGTCTATTCCACCTTCCAGCTCTCCCCTTCCAATGTCCCCTTACCTGAAAAATGGGGAGCCACCAAGAGGTTGCACGCAGATGATTTTCCTGCTTCTAACCTGAGTTCCTCTCTCAGTAGTGAGAAGACCATCGCTTCCCTGAATGGGTAGAAAGGAAGCAACAACTCTTCCCGTCTCTTAAGACTGTTCACAAGACCTGTTGGCCTCCGAGACGGGTGGGCAATGTCATTTTGCCTAGTTCATACTCTGAGCTGTTAGACTAGGAGAATTAATTAAAACTCAGGTTTACACAGCTGCAAAGTTTAAACAAGACACACAGAGATGTAAGATAAAAGGTGAAGAGTGCACAGTTTTCTCCTTCATATTAGCTCCCAGACAAGCCTTTGGCCTGATAACCTACAGGTAGTAAGTTTCAGGACTTGTCTCCAGGAAAGGGGTGAAAAGTTGGTTGTATCTAGGGTCTGGGCTTTACACCAGGACCGCAGCTCTGCCCACGTCCAGTCCCACAGTAATGGGAGCCGTGGGGAAAAATGCGCGGTAGTATTCCCCTGGGCCTGGAGGGAGGACACAAACAGATTCCTGGTTTAAAATATCGCAGCTGCCCCCTGACCCAAGCAGCTTGCCTCTCCCTTTCTCCTTTATTTTTCCTTTTTTGGGGCGAAACCTAGTCGAAGGGGAAGCCCTTACTCCCTTCACATTTACTTTTTTTTTTTTTATACTGTCAGTGACTCAACCAACAAATATCTGTCCCTACCTTTCGGTTATGAAACTCGATAGACCTGTATTACCAGTTTAGTAGATCTCAAAGCATGGTCCCCTGACCAGCAATGCAAATTCTCGGGACCCCACTCTAGGCCTACAGAATCAGAAGCTGGGGGTGTTTTAACAAGCCCTCTAGGTAATTCTGATGCGCTTATGTCTGAGAACCACTGCCTTACTTTATGTCAGTCTGCAAGAGCAGATAACTTAATTTTTGTAAATTAAAGTGAGTTGATGGGTGTGCATCGGGCATTTTAATGTTTTCCAAAGTGCTTTGACCCTGTCTGCCTGTGTTATGAGCTATAGGGAAGGGTGAACAAAGCACGTTCATATCATTGGTAATAAAGAAAGTTGAAGTTGGAGAAAGACTGTATCTGTGGGTTTATTATTTTTTTTTGACCCACCCACACCCCCATCGGAAACGGAACGCCAACTTGAGGTAGTCATTTTGTCCCCGGAACCTGTGGCCGGGGAAATCCCGACACCTCTGGAGCCAGTAATCCTTACGCGCAGCTTTTGTACTTGATTTGTGCGCATATTCACTCTTCCTCCTTCTGGTAAGTACAACGCAAAACTGAAAGCTTTGCGCTAAGGTCGGAATATGAGAAAGGAATTTTTGAAAAATCATTTCTGTTTTCTCTTCATCTAGGGCCCAATGATAAAATGAACAAGAGAGACAGAACTGTATTAGTTACAAAGAAGAAAAGCCATCCAGGGGGCACCCGGATTTGAACCAGGGACCTCTTGATCTGCAGTCAAATGCTCTACCACTGAGCTATACCCCCGCGCGAGTTTGGCGCCTGGAGATACATCTTTGGATGGATACTAGGACATTGCTGCACTGAGGCAGTTAATAAGAGTAAGGCAAAAGGAATGAAGGAGGAGAGGGGGGCAAGCGGAAAGCGGAAGGTGCCTGAATCCAGAGAACCCCGGGAAAGCTGCACCGCAGAGACGGAGAGGAAAGAACAAGCTCGAACTGCGAGGCGCTGAGTACAGGCGGGAGGAACGGGTTCCGCCCTACAGAAGTGGGAAAGGATATGAGGGGGAAGGGAGGCTAACCGAGGGGCGGGGCAAGGGGGTTCCCATTCTGTCTGTAGGTTCAGACAGACCGATACAAAGGAAAGTCCCAGAATCCGGTGAATCCGATCGGGCGTTCGGGAGGTTCCAACCCCACCCTCGACGGATGCGGGAGGTTTGCCCGCCTCCCTTAGCCCGGGAGCTCCAGATGTTTGGGGCCAGACCAGCTCCGCGCCGCCTGCAGCGCGGGAAGGGCTCTGGGCGAATCCGGCGTTTTTCCAGGGCGCCTCGGGCTTGGGAGCACCTGGGCGCGCACTCCGGGCCCCACAGCCCTACCCGGAACCCGCCCTCGCGCAGCCCCAAGTCTCTCGGGGAGCGCGCCTGCCCGCACGCGCCCCTGTCCGCGCCCGCGCCCGCGGCGCGTCCCCGCCCCGGTGCAGCCCCTCCTCCCCACTGTGTTTATTAGGGGAAGGAGGGCGGAGGCGGAGGCCAGTTCCCTAGCTCCAGCCGCGGTCGCTGCCGCCTGTGTAGTTGCAGCGGCTGCTGTCTCCCGCCAGCTCGCTCCGGGGAAAGAGAAGGCGCGCGAGCTCCGGCGTCCCCGCCCCAGCCTTTCTTGGAGCCATGAATCCCAATTGCGCCCGGTGCGGCAAGATCGTGTACCCCACCGAGAAGGTGAACTGTCTGGATAAGGTGAGCCCCGGGACCGGGAGACGCGTCTTTGCCATTCGCGAGCAGTGCTCCAGATTGAGGGGAAGAGAGAGGGGCTGGGTTTTTGCCGCCCGATCCCCGCGATCCTTGGAGGAGAGAGGGAGGGCGGTGTCATGGGGTGTTGGGGACAGACCCCAGTCTGGAAACCAGGAGATCAGAGGCGAGGCAAGGAGTCCACGCGTGGCGGGCAGCCACTGTTGGAGAAGAGTCGGCTCTGCCCTGGGGTTGGGGGAACGGAAAAGGGGTAGAGAAGCCAGGCCAAGGGGTGGGGGCTGGGGGAGGTTAGGGGTGCAGTCCCGCCCCCTAGGCCCGGGAGTGTGAGGGACTGACGCTCCTTCTCCCCGCCGCCCGGAGCGCCAAGTAGGCGGAAGCGCGGGGCTCCCGGGGAGGGGGCGGCGGTGGGGCGGGGCAGAGGCTGGGGGGCCCAGCGAAACTGTCGGCTCTGGCCACGAATGGCTGGGCTTCCTGGCCTGGAGACTGGGGGCGGGGGCTATCAACCGGTGAGTGTTGCATTTGGTGAATTGGGCTGCGGATAAGGAAGGACCTGAGCCCCATTGCAAGACCTTCTTTTTTGGACGATCTGTACTACCCTTGGTGGTTCAGCGATTAATGGACCACCGGTTAATGGTAGCTTCCCAGCCCCCACCTCAAATTAGAGACCAACTCGCTGCGTTGAGCAGCCCAGCCCGAGCGGGGCGGGGTCGGATGCTGGAGTAGGGTGGGCGGGGGGTGCTTCGCAGAGATCTTCTGAAATTGTGCTCAGAGCAGAACAAAGAGCTAACTTTTCAAAGCAGGTTTACCCAATGGAGGTGGGGTTGGCTGAGCTCAGGGGAAGGCAAGAAAAGGGGGAGGTGTTTTGGGGGGGGGGAGGGTGGCCTTCTGGAAATTCATTGTCCCCTGAGGGCCCTTACGATTCATCCTCCCCACCACCCCTACCTATGCTGGACTTGTTCATCTGGTTGTCATTATACTTTTGGAGGGGGGTGGAGAGTAGAATTGGGTGTTTCCAGCAGTTTGGGGTAGGATCCTGTCCTCTCTTAAGCTCCCTTAGACCCTGAGGCAAAAATCTTCGGTTCCTCTGCATCCTGCCCCAGTCTGCAGGAGGGGCCTTTGTGATTTTTGTCCCCTTCCTCACCGTGCCTCCCACCCACTTCCCAAAGCTGGCTCCAAGTCCAAATACACCCTCTTTCTCACCTAAAATGGCAGGGTGTGAGGGGCATGGGATGCAAGAGGGGTGCAGAGCCCTGGGACCAAGTTCATTGCCCGCTTGAAGCCATGTTTTGTTCGTGAAAAGACAGTTCATTGGATTCTTGCGTCTCCCCTTCTCCTTGGGGTTGGAGCTTCCTCAGTGACCTTTGGCCTTTTTGGAGGAAGGATGCATAGGGGTCTACTGCTGTTTCACTGTCTCTCCTGGGTTCGGCCAGACAGGAGGAGAGGAGCGCTGTATTGTGGACACAAAGGAGGTGGGTGCTGACCTTCCCGAGGACTGTGCCAACCTCCGGAGGGCAGGACTTGAGCTTGGTGGCACTAACCGAAGAACTCTCTGTCTTTGTACACTGGTGTTCATGCCCTTCCCTGGTGGCAGGGATTTTGGCCTCTCTTCCTGGAGTTCCCTGTGCTCTCCTCCTCCACGCTCATGCATGGGGGAGAAGAGGCTGTGGCCAGTTTCACTCCTATAAGGCAGAAGCAATATGTGACGGAGAGGTTGCTAGCCTGGGAGTTGGGAGACAGGGTCTGCACTCCAGGTGTTCTCCCGCGGGCTTTGTGAATGGCTCTAGGCCTCGGCTCTCCCCGTCTGGCAGATGCCTGCTGAGGTTATTTCCTTGAAGGCGGGGCAAAAGTGCGCTCAAGGGGATGTGGAGTAGGCTGTGCACTCCCTACCTTGGGGGGGTACTCTAGCCCCACACCTGGCTCCCTTTGTAAAGAACTTTGGTGTCCTGTGTGTCGGGGGCCAGGAGGACAGGTGTCCTGCAAGGTACACTCCCCCCCCCCGCCCCCACCAGCTAGCTTTCTCTCACCCCAGTTAAAGAGGACAGTCAGGTGAGGGCTGTCTTGGAAAGTGGGATTGGTGATTCCTCCCTCTTTTGAGAGTTTTCCCTGTAGGAGGTGGTCTTGGGGAGACCTCGCTCCCAGCGCCGAGCAGGAGGCGGGGAGTATCCCGGTGTCAGAGCTCTTCCTCTTTCCTAACTCCTTCCCCGCAGGAAGGACTGGCACTTCCTACTGGGGAGCTGGTGCCCCAAGGGCTGAGACCCGAGAGGAGGAACCTTCCCTCCCAGAGGCAAGGTTGCTAACCAACTTCCCAGTAGATGGCTTTCCATTTACAATAGGAGAGAGTCAAATTAGACCCACCCGGTTACTACAGCACAATTTCCCAGGGCACTTAGCCCACAAGGCGACCCAGAGCACGAGCCTGTGTCCTTGGTGTGAACGTTTTCTCCTTCCTGAGCCTTATCTCTCAAAGACTTAAGTGAGTAAAGTCCCCATCACCTCTGATGGCCACCCTGCCCCCAGCCTGCAGTACCCAGTGTGCCTTGCATGCTGCATAAATGTGTATGGCTGATGGCGGTGTCCGAGGGGAGAGATCGAGATTTCCTTCCTCAGAGGGCTTCTGGGGTATAGAGTTGGGGGAGAAACGGGGTGACCTCATTGGCTCATTCATTGGACAGATACTTATTGAGTACCTACTTTGTGCCCGGCACTCTGAAGGGTTGCCACAGGCCTTTGAGGAGGGAGAGGGGCTGGGTCTCAAAAGGTCCCCTGCATTTTGAGAGAGGTGGATTTTTACCCCAGACCCTGTTAGGACGCATTGGTGTATAGGAACCTGTGTTGTTAAGAACCTTGCCCTGCCCCTCTCCCTGGATAGGGGACTGGTGGGCACCAGTTTCCCTGGAGTCCCCCATTAGGAGGGCTCCCCGCCTCTGGGTGTTTGAACTGCCCCCCCTCCTGCCCTCTCACTCCTATAGGGGGCAGCAAGATTGAAAGAGGCTGGCTGGACACAAAAAAGAGACAAGTCCTTGCACTTGTGGTGCCCCCTTTCCGTTAGCTGAAGTACCCCACGATCACCTGCGACCATGCATTCATAGCTGCTGCTGATTGCGAAGGGCCAGGCTCGGCCTCCGCAGCAGCCTCCCGCCGCAGACGTGGCTGCCCCTGTAGGTGATGAGCCCCATAAACGGAGGCTCAGACAGTTCAGGTGGCTCATTCCCTTCTCAGGCAGAGCTGGAATTTAAGTCTGAAGTTCTTTGTGCTCAGCTCATCTGCCTGTTAGGTTTGCAAAACAGTAGCTGTATTTACACTGTCTTATTTTAGTGTCCACAGTGGCGCTGCCCCTTCTTGACCCTGGGCGTGAGGCACGCTCCTTCCAGGAACTGGGGTGGTAGGAAGTAATCATCTCCCGCCCGGGAACGTGTGGAGGTGAGGCCAAGGTCTGTCACTTTAAGCCAGCGGCCCAGGTGGCCAACTGAACTCCGTTGGTGACCCAAGCAGGGTGGGGCTGGCATTGCCCCTGAAGAAGGGAGGAATTGTAACCCTGGGCAACAGGAAGAGAGAGGAAGGTCTCATACTCCAACCCTGAGTCACGGCCACCCAGGCAGCCTGGGTGCAGAGGGCAGGGTGCCAGGCTGCAGGCACAGTGACCTGGAATTGGCTGTATCTCCCTCACCCAGGGCTAAGAGCAGCCCCTCCCCCAGCTCCACAGTGATTACAGAGAGGTGGGAGTTGGTTTCAGCCTCGCCCAAATAAGTGCGTGCAGGGGATCTTGCTTCTGCCCCATCAGCCTCTGTCTGCCTTTCTGTGGACTGGGCTTCAGCTTGGGAGCTGCAGGCAAGGGAGACCGGAGGGTGAGGTCAGAGCCGGAGAGGCTGCTAACAGACACCGGAGGTCTGGGTTTTTGTGAAAGGGAGACCATGGACTTCCAGGACAGTGGGAACGAGGTGCCTGCCCAGAGGTGCACTTTGCTCCCAATCCCGAGTCCCGAGTCTCAGGAGTGCTTCTCCAAAATCTTCTTACTGGGGCCTTTCAGAAAAGAGGGACAGGGCTTATGGGGCAGGGAGAAGAGGCAGACCTGATTGAGACAGGGGTGGGGTTTCCTTGGGGTGCCCAGTCCAGGCTTGGCCCACAGGGGCTGTTGAGTTGCCTGCCCTATTCTGCCCTCCACTTTCCTCCTGTAAAGAGGACAAACACGGTGGCAGGAGCAGCTGGGTTTTCCTGAACCTTGGAGCCCTCCCCCAGGGAGTGAGGGAAGTGACCTAAAGCAGCCACCTTGGAGCCCGAGTCATCTCATTACTCCGCCTAGCGCCTGCCTGCCTGCGTGGGACCCTGGTTTTAGTTCCACTTTCTAGCTGTGGAGACCGAGTGTAGTGGTTACCCCGAAGGCACTCAGGTCACCTGTGCTCTCATTGTTCTGCTACTGAGCCCCTGTATGGGGACAGATGACGCCACCCCCCCCCCCCAGCCTCTGGTGTATCTGGCTGAAAGCAAGGGGTCTCTGGGGTTGTGGGGGGAATAGCTACAGATGGGAATGGGCACCATCTGCTGGTATGGGGGTTCCCCTTCCAATGGCAGCCTGCAGGGGGCTTGTGGAGCTCCTGGATTGGGTGTTGGCCCTGCACCCCGACCCTGGTCAGTGTACCCTGCCCCTTGTCCTGAGGGGCTTGGCCTTGGCTCTGGGGTGGGATCCTGTTCATCTGCTAGGGTAGGGGTATGTGTCTTCCTCCCTTTGTCTCCCCGCAATCAATCTGGAGGCAGCTTTGGAGGTCCCCAGTCCTAGGACAGCGTATTCCTGCAGATGTGTGTGTGAGAAAGTGGGTCACGGTCTGGATTCCAGAGAATGTTTTTCCTGGCAGGCCCGGCGGGGGCTGGGGGAGGTGGGGGCCCAGGCAGGGGCATGTGCCACTGAGCAGGCAGAGGCCAGCAGGCCAGCTGGTGACAGAGCTGGGGCGCTCTGCCAGTGCCTCCTAGTCAGTGGGGGTGGGAGAGGGGCTGCCACTTCATGGGCTGACAGGGGCAGGGGCTACCCTGTTCTCATTTTTCCGGTGGGTTACATGTGTTGGGGTTTGGCACTGAGGATCTAGGCTGGGCTCTGGGATAGGCCCCGGTTGGGGAGGGGGCCAAGCTTAGACCAGCCATCCCTGTGCTTCCAGGCTTCCAGCTGGCCTTCTTCCCGAAAGAGTGGGTCTCCTACCATTTCATTTATGCTCCACCGTTGGCGATTCCTCTGGGTCTCCTTGACAAGGGAAGGGTCCTGTTAGGTGGCGATTGCCCCCCAAATCACCCCGTGGTCGAAGCCAGCCACGGGAGGGAAGGTGGTATCCTAGTCTCCCAGCTTCCTTCCTTCTGTCCCCTCCTCCAAAGTGTCCCGGAAGCACCCTTGGCAGGGAAAGACATTGTGAAAAGCCCTGACTTGAGGGGATTCCTCATCACATGGCCAAGAACCAGCCCTGTGCTGGTCACCTTCAGACGCCTCCCTGGGCCCTTCCCAGGCTTCCGGCCTCCTTCCTGAGGGTCGGGCGTGTCTCCCTTGACTGCTGGGAAGTGGGGCAGAAACAGGTCAGCCGGGTTGCCCAGGCCGCCTGGGTCTGGGAGTCCTGAGAGCTGGGTGCCTGGTCAGGGTCAACGCAGATCCCAAGGCCTTGTCCTGGGCTGCCAGGGGCAGAGTCAGACCTCGTTTTCAGGGGTGTGCCTCGGCATCAACACTTCTTAGGATGGGGTCGCTTCTGCTGCCTCCTTTCCCCTTCCCTTCTGCGCCCCTTTGTTGGCCGTGCTGGATTGGTCCTGGCTGCTCTGTCCTTGGCTCTGCTGGAGTCTCACCTGTTATTTATCCCCACCCGCCTTGTAGCTGTGGCTGGGCACAGGGGAGCCCCACCACGCACAGACCTCCAGTGGGAGGCTCTGAGCCCTCCGGGCTGAGGGTTGTGTCTGCTGTCCACAGCATCTACCACGCAGGTACTGAGAGGTGCCAGGTGCTGGGCTGAGTGAGGGCTTTGCAGGTGATTTCTCATTTGATCCTCCACGGTCCCAGGAGGGACAGGTATCATTTCCCTTCTGCAGACCTGGAAATGGCTCAGAGGTGTGGGCCCTGACCGAGGTCATGGAGCTAGTTAGGGTGGAGCTTTGATGCCCACTATGGGGTTCCCCTTCCGAGGCTTTTAAGCAGAGTTCTTCAGTGCCTCAGGGAGGCCACCTGCTGGGTGCCCTCCTACGGAGTGAGGGCTGGGAGGGAGAAAGCGTGCGAGAGCGGTGGCTGGAGCACCCACCCATCCTCCGGTCGGAGTCCCACAGGAAGGGGGAGGCATCAGAGCTGGAGCCCCTGATGGAGGTGGGAGCTAGGGTTGCCTGGGTTCTGGGCCTGGGTGCTCAGGCGCTGGGCCCTCCTCCTCTCCTTCTCTAGGCTTTCCCTAGGAGCTGCTCCTCATGCTCAGCAGCGGCTTCTTAGCAACCCTGGTGCAGCTTTGCATGAGCAATGAGGCTTCTCCAGCTTGGGGGCAGCAGGAGTGGTCAGGGGAGGTGGAGCCGGCTTGGGGGGACAGCTCACCACTGCTATTACTGGCCTCTTCTCCACTTGCCCTATATGTCTGCCCTTCTCCCCTCCTTACAGCTCAAATGGCCGATTGGTGGGGAGTGGGAAAGGGGTGGGAGGAGTGTCATCTGCTGCCAGAGTCTGTGACCTGAGATGTCCCCCGCTCACCCGCCCCCTCGGGGTGATTCTGTGTTCCAATTCCTGGCCTAGAGCCAGAGTGCTCCTTCCGGGGGCCTGAGCCCGCTTCCTGAGGTCCTAGTGTGTGACGGGTGTCCTCCCTCTGCCTCTGTCCCCAGTTCTGGCATAAAGCATGCTTCCATTGCGAGACCTGCAAGATGACACTCAACATGAAGAACTACAAGGGCTACGAGAAGAAGCCCTACTGCAACGCGTGAGTGCGGGGGCGGGGGGGCGGGGCCGCGGGGCCGGGCCCTTCCTCATTCACCCTCACGGTGGGTCACAATCGGTTCTCACCGCGGCTGGATGAAGCAACCGCTCTTATTCTCCTTCTCATTTCACAGAGAAGGAAACTGAGGCTTGAGGAAGGGAAGGGATTTTCTCAAGATGACATGTCTAGTGAGAGGCCAGTTCAAACCCAGTGAAACAAGCATGTGCTTCCCACGGTGCCCTGCTGCGGGGGGCGGGGGGGGCGGGGGCCCGGTGCCGTCTTTCACGAAAAAGTGACCTGCCCTGTTTCTGCCCAGCTGTGTTCTCTGCTTCTCCTTCCCTCTTTTCTCTCCCCATCGGAACAGTTGACTGTCTCCCATCTCTCACCTGGCCCCTGCCAGGGAGCCTGGGCGTGAGGCCTGGGGGGGCTTCTGGCTGCAGCCCTTCCTGATGTTCATTTCTTGAGCAGTGAGGCGGCAGGAAGGGGTGGCCTGGCCCTGGGACCAGACAGAGCTCGTCCCTGTCTGGTGAGGGAGGCAGCAGGGACCTCCAGTCTTTGCCACCAGAGTTGGCTTACACTCTGTTCCTTCTGCCCTGGGGCCTGCAGCTTGGCTCGCTGCAGGGAAGTAGGTAAGCGGCCCCCCATTCCGTGCCATTCCAGAGTAGGACGCCTTCCCTCTCCATGGTGACCTCGTGTGCCTAGCATGCGCAGACTCGGTGCGGACTCAGGCTGGACCCGCGGCCTGTGCCGGACCTCACAGCCACCCTGCTAGGCAGGAGTTGCAGAAGGTCCAATCACTTCAAGTCGGTGGCAAGATCAGTATTCAAAACAGTTCAGCATCTGACATGAGTCCAGTTGTATTTTATTTCTTTATAGTCCTTCAGGAGGCTCTTTGCAGCAGATTACCCAGGAGGGGAGCTTTGGGACTTGCCTGAGAGGGGTTGGGGGGTCTTAAACCCCTTTGGAAGGCTGCCTGCCCCTTTTTGCACCCCGTCCTCTGCTAATACCACAGCCTCATCTCCTTGGTGTTTTTTCCATTCATTAGGTGTGTATCGCCTGCCGGGTCACTGCATGCCAACCTGTGCCAGGTGCTGGGGAAACTGATTTCTGATAAAACCTTACACTCAAGAAGTAACATGTGTATTGTCGCTTCTGGGAGGGCTGGGGGCACGGGGAAGGTTGCCTGGGGTAGAAGGAGGGTCCCCACTTTCTCTTCAGCCGCTCCTTCTCTTCTATTAGCTTACACTGGTCCTCTCCCCCAGCCCCCAAGGGAAATGGGACATTCCTTGAATTCTTAAGGGCTCACACAAGCCCTGATTCTCTGCCACTTCCTCCCTCTGTTGGGGAGTGGGGTGGGGTTCAGCAAAGCCAGAGGCTGGGGCAGTTTTAACCCCGTGACTGCTGGACCACTTCAGGCTGGATTCTGGGCACTGAGGCTCCTTCAGGGGCAGCTTCTGACCCTCCACCCCTCCAGGTGGGAGTCTGGCTGAGCCCCGAGCCTAGTGGGTGGCAGGGACCGATGCTTCTGCACAGCTCTTCCGAAAGACTGCAGTAGCCTAGAATTCAGTGAGCGCTGGGAGTTGGAGAAAGAAATCAGAGGCGTGTCCTTGTTTTCTCTGTATTTTCTCAGCCTAGTGCCAACGTCTCAGCTTACTTTTCTCACCCTTTTCTGGGGAGGCTGCAGTGGGTGGGGTGAGGAGCTCCTTGCATTGATCAGGGGGCTTCCGGGGAGGCAGAAGATGAAGCACCCCTCCTCGGAGGCTGCTTCCAGCCCGCCCTGGCAGAGGTTCCCCGTCTGTCTTCCGATCCGCAGCCAGGGAAGCTGGTTGATCCTTCTCCGTGCCCCCAGCCTGTACAGCCTTGGCATGCGCCATGTGCAGCTGACCATGGGCCCAGCTGGGATGTTTCCTGGGTGGGAGGAGACGTGGGGGGCTTTGTGGTCCAGCTGGGGTTCACTCCAGCTGTAGTAGTACCTTGCCCAAGGCATTCACACTCCCTCAGCCAGCTTCTGCTGAGCAGTCGGTCCGTGCCAGCTACTCAGACATGGAAATTCCGGGACAAACCAGAAGCAGGCTCAGCCTGCAAAGAGCACTTTATCACCTGTCTGAGGCTTGGTTTCCCCCACGGTTCCTACCCTGGGATGCTGGACCAGAGACCAAAGAATACTGAGTGCCTACTGCGTGCCAGGGACTGTGCCGAGTGTTCGCTGTCATTCCTTCCTGTTCCCCTCCTGCCTCTGGCCCCGTCCTCCGGTGACATTCAGGCTCTGAATCCTGCCGTTCGTCCAGGGTGTAGCTTTGTCCTGATTCCCACCCTGGCCTTGCTTTGGGAACCAGGCCTGGCTTCCTTCTCAGCAGCCGCTCCCGCTTGGAACCCAGAGAGGCAGGTGGCCTCTCCTGGCACTGGGCCAGGGAGTTGGGCCCACCCAGTGAGAGAGTGTGAGTTTGGGGTGCAGGGAGGCCTCCAGGTTCTGCCTGTCTCTGGCTCATCCCTGAGCCAGGATCTTGCGGGGGGTGGGGGGGTGGGGGGGGGAGTTGATCAAGAGAGAAGAAACCTGTCTCTCTTTTTCCGGTTGCATCTCAAGACTAATTTAAGTTCTGGAAAGTGACTGTAAGCAATAAAAATGCCTGTTCTGTTTCTCTCTGTGCACCGGACTGGCTTTAGGGTGAGGCAGCAGGGAGAGCTCAGGCCCGAGCGCACAGCCGGCCTGCGGGGTGGCGGCAGACCCCCGGGGACGTGCACGTACACGTGCGCCTGGTGCGTGTCCAGACACACGCTCTGCCAGTCCCCGGGGCTGGGGACAGACGCCAGGGAGGTCCCTTGAGTGGGGCGTGATGGTGTCCACACCTCCCAGGCCACAGCCACCAGGCACTGCTAGGTAGAGGCACGCGTGCCTGTTTTTGCACCATAGTCGGTGGAAGGGCCAGTGAATTGAATTCTTGAAGCTTCTAGGTGGGTGGGTGAGTCTGCTCCATTTTGGTTGGAGGGATATTTATAACCCTTGATTATTTGTTTTGTAAACTGCATTTTCTGCAAGCGGGATGGATGTGTCCACACTACAAACCTGCTCCTTTGTTTTCATGAAAACCGTTTAGGAGTCTGGAGGTCAGGGGCAGGGAGGGGGTGGGGAGGCATGTGCTGTTCTCTCCTCCTTGGGGGCTGTGACTCAACAGAGGCTGCAGAGCCGGGGTGGAGTTGCAGGCCAGGACGGGGGCCAGCTTTTGGGGTGTCCAGTGGTGGTGAGGGGTGGACACGGGCCAGGAAAGGAAGGGGGGTGCTCCATTGTATCCTTCCCCTCTTCACTGACTGCAGATTTCGGGGTCCTTCTTCAGCGTCTGTGAGCTGTGGGGTGAGGGGCCGAGAAGGATGGAGATGTGCCTGCTTCTGGGCAATGAGGGACCGTGGTCCCTCCCGCCAGGCCTCAGCGAGTGGGCTGGGCCTGCGCTGGTGGAGCCGGGCGCTGGTGGAGCCAGGTGCTCGCAGCGCGTCTGGGCTCTAGCGAACTGTCTCAAATCCCAGCTGCTTCAGCGGATGGGGCACCGGTGCGCCAGGTCTGCGGTCTGGGGCTTTCCCGCCTCCCCAGAATTTTCTGCCTCTGAGTGGGCAAATGGGATCGGATGTCTTAGGGAGCCAGAATAGCACCAGGAGTGGAGGGAGGGGTGTGTGTCCCGGACAGGGGAGGCACGCTCAAAGGTGCATCATCCACAGTGGCCAGATGCGGCCTCTAGGCAGCCCCCATACCTGACCCTTGCCCTCAAATCTCCGCACTCAGAGACGTCAGGGCCTCAAAGAACCTCAGGGCTCCGAATACCCCCACTTCACAGAGGAGGAAACTGAGGCCCCGAGTTCCTCTGCCTTGCCCAACTTGGCAGAATCATTTCTTTGTATGTGTTGCCGTCAGGGGCAGTAGCTGGCTTTGATTTTACAGTTTGTCTCCAACCCCTGAGGGCTGGGAAGTTCTTCTTCACGTCTAACCTTGATCTTTTCGGCTGCTCCCGATTGTTCTCTGGTCAAACAATGCCTCCTTGTTGCGTCCTGGCCCCACCCCGTCAGCCCTCGGGCCTGGGGGACGGGTGAGGAACTGGGTTAGGAGCGAGCCCTCTCCCTCTCCGGCCGTGGGCAGTGTTCCCAGCAGGGGATCAGAAGCTCCTTCCACAGGCAGGATGTCAGGACTGTTTCTCCCCGCCTTGGTGAAACCCAAGGTTCCTTGTTGCTTTTGTTGGAGTATTTTTGTTCTTCCTTGAACAAAGAGCTGTGGTTTTTGAATGAGTCCGGGCTGGAAGAGGCGAGGTTGCGTGCAGAAGGGGGCGCTGGGCTGTCGGGCTCTCGGGTCTTTCCGTTCTGCCTCTGGAACACGGCTAGTGGCAGGACCGGGGGTGGGGCCGCGCCCCGCCAGCTGTCCCGGTCTGTGGGACGCCCATCAGCCTCCTCCCTGTCCTCACAAGGGCGCTCAGGTTGTCAGGGACAACCCCTCCCGTGGGGCAGATCCCCCTTCTCCTGCATCCCCACAGGTCGTTGCTTGGACTCTCAAGACCCCTGCTTTGGAAAAGTTGTCAGGAGAAGGTGACTTCTGTCTGGGGGGGTGGCTGAGAGGTCCCACAGGGTCTCTCATCATGGCTGAGCTTGGAAACAGGTTGGGTTTGAAAGATGAATTACCTCGTTCTCCGCCCACCCCGCCGAGCACAGCTTTCCGCAGAGGCCTGAGAGCTGCGAGTGAACCGGGGTCCACCCTCGAGGGAGATGCCAGCTCGTCCTTAGCTGGCTGGGTGGCTGTGGTGGACGGGAGGGTGGCACTGGGCGAAGTCTCTCTCCTCGACACTGGGGCTCAGTTGCTCTATCTGTCGAATGGGCCCACTGACAATACCTGCCTTTTCTAGTCCATGGCCTTGTGGTGGATTTCGAGAGGGACTGTACACAGGGCTCGATCCACCAAGAAATCACTTTGTGTGCCTGAGCGTGGTCTTGGAGGCCTAGGCTACTACTCAGAGCTGCCTGATTTCCTGCCCGGCCCTGTTCTTGCCCTCGTGGGCGCTGGGTCCTTTCCCCTGCCCTCCAGACTTCCCGCCCTGCTCTGTGCGCCCTCCAGGCCTCTCTTCCACACAGCAGCCTGTACCGCTGCCTGCAGAGGGTGGGGAGGGGCGTCGCAGAGGGCCCACCGCCTGGAATGCTTCTCGGGGAGGCTGGCCCCGGGAGGGACAAAGAGCAGCTGTGCTCTGGACCCAGCTCCAGGCCAGGGTCAGGACGCCCGGTTCTCCCCGTCCCGGCCCCTTGTTCCCTCGCCATGGCCCAGTCTGTTGGGAGGGCCGGGGTTCCAGTGGGGTCACTGGCTGGGGGTGATGGCCCCTCTTCCGTCTTCGTGCCCGCAGTGGCACACACACGTACCCATTCATATCGACGGGCATGAGAGGGCAGTGGGCGGGCAGAGCTTCAACCTGAGGACAGAGAGGGAGGGAAAAGGTAAAATTCCCAGCCATTGTTTCTGGAAGGAGGTCAAATGAGTTGCAGCCCTTTCCAGGGCAGTCATGCTGGCGGGGGTGGGGGGCGGGGGGCACGGCGTGGACATTGCTGTGTCCACCCCTCTAAGAACAGGCCGTGGCTCCTGTCCTCACCACATTGTCTGCAGGGATCCTGCAGACACAGGCTCCTGGTCTTGCTGTCACGGGTCCTCCGCAGTGGCAGTGGAGGACACCCTTGCTGGCTTGTCTCCTCCCCACCCCCACAGACCCTCTCTCCCTCTCCCTCTCTCTTCTCTGCTCTCCTGCCTGGAGCCGAGGATGAGGTTGCCATGGGAACCTGAAGCGCAGTGAGCAGGGGAAGGGAGAGAGGGAAAGGCAGGGTTGTCAAGCCAGGGCTGGGGGCTGTGGGGAGGGGACAGGGTTGACCCGGCAGGAGGAACACTGCCCGAGCTGCCTGTCCCCATCTTCCTCTGGCCTGGGGTTGGGGTTGAGGAAGCAGGGGTGAGAGACTGGGGGCTCTGGAGTCCCTCTGAAATCTAGCTCATCGGATGCAGGATTAGAATCCCTTTCTTTCCCCTGCCCCGTGAACCCAAGACCACATCTAGGTGGGCCCGCCTTCCTGTCTGATGGGGTTAGTGCTCTGGCCGAGCGGGCACTGAGGTCTGGGGCTCCCGTGGCCCCACCAACCCCACCCAGAGGTACTTGCTGTATGTGGCGGGGTGGGGGGCTCTTGAGACCCTTCTGGTGGGCGTCGGAGGTGCAGGAGGTGCGGGAACCTGTCGCGTGTGGGCCTGCGGCCCCCGTGCCCGGGAGACGGGCACCCCTGCAGAAGGCCCCTCTGCACACACGTGCCGTGTGTGAGGAACAGCGCGGCGTGTGGAGGGGCCCTGGAACTGGGTGGCGGCGCGTGTCAGGGCCACATGCCATGCTGTCCTCCGGCCGGCACTCCATTGGAACCGTGCACACTCAGGCACGTGGGAAACCCGGGCGTGCAGACCGGCTGCCGTGCACGTGGGTTCGCCAGCTTCGCTCCCCCACCAGGTGCTAACTGGTGCCATCTTCTCGGAACTGACCCTTCACGTTCTGAGCCAGAGCCGCCCCGCCGGTCTCCTCGGTCGCCCTGCTTCGGACCTAACTCCTTCCTCTGCCGCAGGAGTCGGTGCTCACGGTGCTCACGGTGCTTACGGATGCTCATCTCACCGCAGACCCCAACCCGTGACGCCTTCAGAGTGGCTCTTACTTGGCGGGAGGGTCACCTCTGCAACGTATCATTTTACAACTTCAGGGCCAGCCAGTTCTGCTACAGATCTTACTTCGATCCCTCCTGCTGTTCTCTTTCTAGCCTCTGGGAACAGGCTCCCAGTGGATCCTCTCTCTCCCTGGAACTGCTCAGGAATTTTGAATGGCGCTCGTCAGCTGTGGGTGGCCCTGGTTCTGTGGAACTGGGCCAAGCCTGGGGACCGGACCCACAGCCTTAGCCTCACGTTCGTCCGTAGGCCGTGCCAGCTGCCGGCACCTGTGTTTACGTTTCGGTCTCCTCTCTTTCCTCCCTCTGCTGGGGCAGCTGGGAGCCCGGGTTGACCCAGAGGCAGGAGCCAGGCAGGGCGGTGGAAGTGAGGGTTGGGACACAGCTAGAATCACTTTGGTCCAAGACAGTGAAACCAGCCCAGAGGGAAAAAGGACTTGCCCATCACCCAGTGAGTCCGTGGCAGGCCCAGAGTCCAGCACGGTGCCCCCACCCCCGGGGGGAGTTCTCCAAAGCCCGAGTCCTGCTCTTCCTCTGGAGAAGTCACAGGTTCACCAGTAGCTCTGGCCCCAGGCGGTGCGGGCGGCCGGAGGACGTGCCAGGTTTGGTGATGACACAGAGACCAGGAGGCTGTTCGTGTCCAGCTCCAGGGCATGTCAGCTGACTGGAGTGGAACATGCCGGAAAGGGGCCAGTCCTCCTCTTACCTGGGGACAGCGTGTGATCAGGGACCTGCGGGTAGTCGCGGCGGTGGTGGTGGGGTGGTGGGGTGTGGTCACCCAGGGCTACAAATGGCCGGATCTCGGTTCCTGGTTAGAGAAGCCACCCGCCAGTGCCTGCAACGGTCGGCTCCCCTGCGGACCCCCGCCCCTCACACACTGGCACGTGCATGCAGACCACAGAGACTCGGGACCGCCTGTCCTTCAGCTGGTTTGCTGGGGACTCCATCTGCCATCCAAGCACTGACCAGGCCTGACCCTGCTCAGCTTCCGAGATCAGACAGGGTCGGGCATGTTCAGGGTGGTGTGGTCGTGGACTCACTGGGCACTTTGTGATGGCCCAGCGGGACGCAGGAGGCCCGAGTTCTAGTCCGGACCCCACCTCGGTGCCTGGGGTGGCATTCATTCATTCATTCATTCATTCATTCACCAAGTATGGATTGGGTACCAAACACTGTTCAAGGAGCTTGGGATACACCAGTGAACAGAAAACCTCCCTATCCCATAGAGAAGTGGTGGAGCGAGGAGAGACTGCACTGGTGAGATGCAGACGTGAATTAGGGGGTCCCCCAACCGCTAACAGAGTCCTGGCGCCAGCGCGCCGTTTCCCCCTCTGAGAAGGGAGGGTCGGCCGGGTGGGTGGGGAGGCCCCTGCAGACTGGGCTCTGAGGGCTTCCCTGGCTCCTGCCACCTCCAAGCCTCCCGCTTTCCGGGGCACAGGACTCTGGTCTGTCCGGTGTCTGGAGATCGAAGGGTTCGGTTTCAGGGTGCCGGGTCCTGGGGAGACCGTCTGGGTGCCGCCAGTCCAGATGCTGGCACTCACTGGCCTCGTGCCTTGGCAGCGGTGTGTAATGGGCCTCAGTTCTGCCATCTGTCACCGAAGGGCAGGCCGCGGGGCGGTTGTGAGAGTGGGGTAAACCGAGGCCTGTGTGCCCTTTGCCCAGGCACATGTCCGCCGCTGCTACGGTATTGTCACCTGAGGGTGGCCTCTTTTCTGGCATCGAGCTGATCTCTCGCCTGTACTCCAGTTAAAGTTGGACCTTGGTAGCCCTTGGAAACACCACTCCGGGTGTGTGCATTTTTTCTCTCTCACCACCTCCTCCAGGAAGACCCCCCTGGATATGCGTGTCCCTTTCCCCTTTTTCCCTCTCTCTGTATCTCTCCTGCCCTTCCTCTCCTTGGTTGGACTCCATGTCTAGTCTTAGCCGAAAGCGTTGTCCTGGCCCTGTCCTCGCCTTCTCCCCTCTCTGGCCTAGCCCTCTTGACTTTCCAAGTTGGTAGATTCGAAGGGATGGACTGTCCCCACACAGTGGTAATCTGAAACCCTGAGGGTGTCCCGTGGCCTCCCTTTGGCTCAGGACAGTTCTCCACGGCCCACCAGCCACCCAAGCCTGCCGTGTCTCCCAGGTCAGCCCAGGGCGAGTCCGAGGGACCCCTGCCTCCCTCCGCACGGGCAGTGGACGACACCACAGTCCTGCTCCTGGAGCGGGGGCAGGGACTTCCCAGGGGCAAGAGGAAGTTGGCAGGAGAGAGTCAGAGGTCTGTTAAGAAGCTTAGAGATTCCTGCCCGTTCCCCAGAGTGACCCCAGCTTTTTTTTTCTGTTCTGCAGACACTACCCCAAGCAGTCCTTCACCATGGTGGCCGACACCCCGGAAAACCTCCGCCTCAAGCAACAGAGTGAGCTCCAGAGTCAGGTGAGGGGGCGGGGCGCTGCTGGGGCCTGGCGGGCAGGGAAAGCTGTTGTAACGCCTGCGTTTGGCAAGGGCTCCTTCCCCCCCGGGGGTTACTGAGCAAGGCCAAGGTGCTGAAATCCTAGCCTTGCCTGTCCTCTGCCCCCAGTTACGAGCCCCGTTACTTCACATTTCCGGACTTTATCAAAGGAGTGGGGGAGAGCAGGCCCCCACTTCTCACCTAAAGTGGGCCGGAGAGCGGTGTGTGTCTGACTCTTTCTGCTCCTGGAAACTTCACGTGGGGCCCCTGAAGCCCACCTCCTCCAGGCAGCGGGTCCCCTCTCCCTCCTCTCCACTCGCTCCCACCCTCCAAGGAGGGCACTCGCCTCTCCAGGCTCCTGCCAGCCTGAGGTTGCACAGCCTACCCTCTGTAACCATGTCCCCAAACCTCCCACGCTCCTCCGAGGGGGCCGGCTGCGAAGGTGGCCTTGGCCTGGGTGTGCCTTATCGCCTATGTGTCCTTGGGCCTGATTTTCCTGAGCGCCTGCTGGGAGGGGTAGGTGGGAGAGTCACGTGTTACATTTAGCAGGGGAGGTGGTGGCGTTCTTGCCCTGGAAGAACCCAGTATTTAGGGGGCACCGAGGAATAAGAGCCCTGATACCCGAACAGCTGACCCTGCCTGGGGGTCTGGGAGGGCTTCCGGGACAAACCTGGCCTGGACTACGGGGAGGCGGCGGGTGGTTCAGCAAAGACCCCTTGGGTACCTTAACCAAATGGGCAGGGTGCCCGGGGCCAGCAAAATGCTGCAGAGAGCCTGCCCGGGCTGCAGTGGGGACCACTCCGGCTCCCTCCGGGCCGGGGCTCCTGCCGCGTGGTGTGGACACGGCTTCTCTGGGCCCCTGCCTCCCACTGGGTCCCTCGAGGGGAGGACCAGCCCCGGGCTGTTCCCCAGGGTACAGGTGAGGAAACCGAGACTTGGAGGGCCCTGCCAGGGTCGTACAGGAAGTAGCAGAGATGGCGACAGTACTAACAGCCTCACGCTCTGGGCACCGTCTCGCGTTCCGTGCTCATGGCAGCCCCACGCGGTCGGCAGGGTCACTCCCGCTTTGTGGAGGAGGAAGTAGGTGCTGATGACGCTCAATGCTGTTTTTGTCTAACCTTTGAAACTTGTGTTCTTTCCAGTTCTCCGCCCCACTCCCTGAGGAGCACTATCGCTACCTTGAAACATGCTTTTGTAGCTGAGCAAGGGCTTGGAGATATTGGAGAAATAAGTGGCCTTATTTGTCCTTGACCCTGCTCGGGTGGGTCAGAGGAGGGAACCAAGGCTGAGAGAGGCACTGGCTTTTGGCCGTGGACACACGAGCTGAGTTAGGTTTCAGTATCTGGGCTCTGGTGTTTTCACTGCCGAGTCCAGTGACCTTGACCATGTGCAGCCCAGGTGGGGCCCACAGTGATGGGGAGCAAGTGGGGAAGCTGGTTCGTTCCTTGGCAGCAGCTCAGCTGCCAGCCCGGCCCCCACCCCTGTCGTGGAGAGAGACATGGTCACTGGCGGAGCCGGTGAGGACACCAAACGTCTGCCAGCTGAGGAGGCCCGGGCAGCCCCGCTGGCAGGGAGAGGGGTTGAGACAGCCCCGAGGCCTGGGGCTGGTCTGCACGGGGAAGATTCTGGCCAGACCCTGGCCAGGCCCTGGCTACCGCTCCAGACTCCCCGTCCTGCAGAGTCCACCGGGGCTGGAGGTGAAGGGAGGTATCATGGGGCAGACAGGCCAGAGCGCCATGGGGCGACCTGTACTCAACCCACAGCTTGAGAGGGTCATTCAGAACCCCGAGGGGCCTGGGGGAAGAGGCGTGGAAGGGGTGCACACACTCACATAGAGGCAAGGGAGAGACACACACGTACACACGTACACACTCTCAGGAGGAGACATTCCAGCCGAGCTAATTCCCTCAGCCTTTGTTGGTCTCACAAAAGCTTGGCTGTAGGTCTTTTTTTTTGCCCCTGGAACCTGACCCCTGAGGGACACCCACCCCTGCTCCCCAGGGCCCTCCTGGGCCGTCTCCCGGGCTCCTGACTCTCGGGCAGGCTGCGGAGCCACGAGAAGGGCGGTCACTCTCCGTGAGGCCCGCACCGAGAGCCAGGCCTGGGCCTTCCTCAGTCCTCACATGTGGCTGGCTGATGGAGAAGGGACTCCTGCTGTCCCCGCAGTACAGAAGGGGACACTGAGGTCTGGAGAGGCCACGTGAGTTGCCCGGAGGCAGATTTCAAGCCGTTGGCTCTCAGCAGCTCCCCAGCCCCGTGCTCACAACCCAAGACCACAGGACACACCAGTCTCCAGGAGGGACAGGGGCTCGTGAGAACGGACCTAAGGGGCTTCTGGGTGGGGCCCAGGATCTATTTTGACTGCCCCAGTGATTCTGCTGAAAGCTTTTGGTTTTGCAGACATAAGTTGAGAGGCTTAGGGCTGGGCTGGTGGTCACATGGAGCCGAGGGACCTGAGCTCACCCTCCTTCTGCTGCGCTGGTCTGGGCCCCGGGGGGTGCGGCTTTGCTTTGAGAGCCTGGCTCTGATCTGCCCTCTTTGCAGGCCTGGTTCTGCCGCCCCCCACCCCCCACCCCGCTGTGTGGTCAGGGCCTGGCCGCTTGCCCCTTGTGGCTTCGTGGCTTTTTCTGCTCCACGGTAAAACGGGGACAGCAAACCCCAGCTGCCTAGAGGTCGGGGGCTGGGCCTGCTGCTCCGAGGCTTGGAAGGGCTGAGCTGGCCTGGCTGGGGGCGGTGACAGGTTCTGGTTCCTGTGGCCGCCGTGGGGGCAGGGCTGGCTCTCAGCTGCCTGTGGCTGGCAGGAAGGGAAGTGGGAGCCTCCTCTGCCTGCCCTGCCCCACCCACGGGGTGTCAGCTGGTCTCTTTCCAGGGCCCCTTCCTGGGCTCGCATCCGCATCCGCAAGCCTCGGCCCCTCTCTGTCTCTGGGAGGCTGCCTGTGCTATTTCAGCTTTGTTTTCCCCGCTCCAGATTGGTTCCCCAAGTGGTACTTTGGGTGTCTGGGACACCTGGAGCCTCCCAGCGGGGGAAGGAACCGCAGAGCTGACCAGAAATGACCCCCTGGGTGGTCCTGGCCAGGCTTGGCCGAGGCAGGGAAATGGCAGCTGGGCCCCACACCCGCCCCCTGCAGCTCTCCCAGCCCCCACCCAGGCTGAATAGAGGCAGTGTCTTCGGGTGGGGCCGAGCTGGGGGCCGGCCGTGCGGCCCCCTGGGCCCAGGCAGAAGTGCAGAGAGAATGTCTCTTTCACTCATGCCCCTGCACTGTCGCACCTCCAGGGTGTAGCACAGCCTGGGACTCGCCACAGGAAACGGGAGAGTCCTGGGGCAGGCAGAGTCCCTGCTCTCGCATCTCGGATCCTGCGACCTCAGAGGACACACCTGTGCCGCTCTTGCTGGAGCCGGCGGGTCAGAGGTTAAATCCTGGGTCTGCCACTGCTCGCTGCGTGACTTCTGGCGAGTTACTCCAGGTCTCCCAGCCAGAGCGCCTTCCCCTGCGAAGTGGCGGTTGCTGCTCTCCAGGGCTTGCTGGGGGGCTGTTTATTAGTCTGCATCAGGCCTTCCAAACAGGCAGCCCCGGGGGTCGGGCCGGCAGCCAGCCAACGTCTGCTGTCGCTGCCCTGCTGCAAAGAGCGGGGCCTGGAAGCCGGGGCCTCCAGCACCGGCCTCTTCCATCCGGTCTGCGCCCCCCCGTGCGCGTCGCAGTTCAAACCTGGGTTCTTCTTTGTCAGAAGGGAGTGGGTTGCGGAGTGCGTGGGCCCCGCACACGGGAGGCACAAGATAAGTGGAAACTGTTGGTGTTGTTTTGTTTTTCAAGAATTTTTTTTTTTAATTAAAGTCAGGATCTTCCCCTTACGTTGGGTCAGTAAGGCAGTTAGTTTCCAAATTGTGCTGCCTGTTTGGAAATGTGGGGTCTACATTCAACTCATTGATCATTTGCTCGAAAGATATTTATTTGTACCCACTGTGTGCTGGGGTGAGTGAGGAACAAGATGGACGGTGGGAGAACAGTTAGTAAGTCGGTGTGTAGGGAGCGGAACATCACAGGTGGTGGTGGTGGCTCGGGCTGGAGGAGAGTCGAGCCTCTGTCCTGGTCCCGCGTGGGGGGTTTCCAGGGTGGGCCGCCCGGGCGCCTCCCAGGCGCAGAGTCGTCCAGCCCCGGCACTGAGCCGCATCCTGACCCTACCAACACCTGGGCCGAGTGACCTTGGACGGGTCCTTTCCCTCCTCGGAGCCCCTCGTCACGTCCTGGAGAGCCGTCCCAGAGCAGGGTGAACGCCCCCACTTGGGTGACAAGGAATCCTCACGGAGGGACTCCGCAAGCAGGGCCCTCCCCACACTCCTGGCTGCCCGCTTTTTACCTGTCACCCACCCCAGCACCAGACGGCCTCTCGGAGAATCTCCCTCACCTTGATCCTCCTCAGTAAGGGTTGTAGGTGCTTAAAAATGGTCCCAAACTCCAGAGCTGGGAAGGCTTTTAGAGATCAGCTGGTTGGCTCCTCTCGGAGGGGGGCCCAGCGAGAGAGACTGGCTTGCCTAGGGACACACAGCAACGGGGTGCTGAGGCCAGGCCCCCCTGTCTTTGCTCAGCCCAGACACCGCCCCCCGGCCCCGCCCTCTGTGGTGCCCCTGCGCCAGGGGTAAATGAATTATCCTTCCCCAGCAAGGAGAGAGAGGCAGTTCCCGAGCCTGGGAACCCGCTGATGTCATCGCAGGGTTGTCACGGCGATTTCCCCTGGATTAGGGTGCTGACCCTTGCCAGGCCAGGAAGTAGAGGAAGGCGGGCGGGGGGGGGTGCGCTGGTGCGGACTGGCATCTGTTCAGGACTGTAACAAAGTACTTTCACAACTACCCTTATCAGGATGTGGTGAGGCCTGCCGTCCGCTCCACGATGACTCGGCTGCTGTAGGCCGTCTGTCATCTGCACCATTGACTGGGACGAGTGGGATTACTGTCCCTGTTCTACAGATTTGTAAACTAAGGCCCAGGAGGTTACGTCGTGTGCCCGGCATCACTTAGCAAGCGGGACACTAAGCCTGTGTTAGCACCAGCTCCCTCTGGCATGTGGCCCACGCTTGGGGGTAGGAAGACCCCTTCCCGTGATGCCCGTGACAGCCCTTTTACAGGCGAGGAGGCTGAGGCGGGACACCTTGGATTTGGGACTTTAGTGTCTGGAGCTGCATTTTTCTGACTCTGAGTGCCTTGCCTGCCCTGATGCCCTCTTCTCAGAGGGTTTCCCCTCCCCAGCCCAGCCCTGAGAGTCAGCATGCGGGCTTAGACCCTCCTGGGTGGGCCGGTGCTGGGCAGTTCTGGGCCCTCGGGAGGCGGGGGGCACCTTCACCCGTTGTGCTGACTTCCTGTCTGATGGGAGCCAGCACGTGCAGGCCCTTGTCTTCATTCCGGATCAGAACAAAGGAGTTTCTGGAACCTTTTAGGATGCAGCCCGAGGGTGGGTGGGCTGGGGGCTCCAGGGGACAAACAAGGACTCCCGCCCCTGGGGGGGTGTGCAGAGGAACGGCAGGTGTGGCCCCGGCTGCACACACGTGCCGTCCGTTGGGTCACAGTGCAGCTCGGCCCTGTGACCAGATGATTCCGTGCCGGGGCTCGTCATCCCGGAAACTCCCGAGGTCCTGGGCCTCGTGTCCTGGGCTGACCGCGTCCAGGCCCGCGCAGCCCCCCATGGAGGAGGTCCAGGCAGCTGGTGGAGTTGGGGACAGCTGGCTGCCGAGGTGGACAGTGACGTCGTCCCCGGAGGCCAGGGCGCAGTTCTCTGTCCCAGGGGCGTTTACAGCGTCCACTCTGTTCTTCAGGTCCCCCAGGGGAGGGCGAGCTGAGCCTCCTGTGTCAGTCCCTTGAGTGTGTGCAAAGTCCCTTCTGCTGTCTGACTTGCACCCCTCAATTTGCAGACCCAAGGAATTCTCAGAAGAGGGGGGCGGTGGGGGGGGCGGTGTTCTCCTAGAACTCTGTTCTGGAGGACTCTCCGTCGTCCGGAGCCAGTGCCGTCCCCTGCTGTGGCGCTGACCTCAGCTGCCGGCCTGGCAGGCTCATGGACTGCGTCTTCCTAGTGGCCGTCTCCCCGCCCTCCTTTGTGGGCACCAGCTTTGTCCCTTGGCACAGCCCTCACTTAGCCGGTCACTTAAAAGTGGCCCCAGGCCCTTGGCGGGTAGGGCCGCATCCCGGCTAGGGTTGAGGGCTGGGGCAGACTTTGGAGCTCCGGAAAGAGCCTTCTCCCTGCAGCGTTCTGGCAGGGCGGGCTGGCGGTGAAGGGTTGGGAGTCAGGCACGTGAGCTTTGCGTCTTGGTGGCTCTGGACGTTTGCTGCTCAGTTGTGTGGCCTTGGCTATGGGATTACGATCTGTGTGGCTCAATTTCCTTATCTAAAATGGAGCTAATGCTAATATATGGCAAGATTTAAATGAGATAGTTCGTGGGAAGCGCTGAGCGCTCAGAATGCACTGGATTCATGGGTCATCATTGTTACTTGAGTACTTGTTGGTCAAGGCTTCTGTTTTGAGCTGGGGGGCGGGGGGTGGATGGCGCTGCAGGGGGAGTTCTGGCCGGGATCTCTCTCCTGGCTGGTTGCTGCCTCAGAGGAGGCCCCAGGCCAGGGCCCTGTCTGCTCCTCCTGCTTGACGCTGGCCCCTCTCCCGTCTGGGTCCTCCAGGTGCGCTACAAGGAGGAGTTTGAGAAGAACAAGGGCAAAGGCTTCAGCGTGGTGGCAGACACGCCCGAACTCCAGAGAATCAAGAAAACCCAGGACCAGATCAGTAACGTAAGCTCCCCTGCCCCTGTGGCACCACACTGACCCGCTGCCCTTCCCTGTGCCCTCCCTGCCAGCCTGGCTGATGTGACCGGGGCCCCTGGGCGGTCCCGGCCTACAGCTGCTCCAGCAAAGAGGGGAGGGAGGAGTGTGGGGTTCCCAGGTATTGTTTCCTGTGTGCCCCAGACTCTCCCTTTGCCCCCTCTGCCCACATAGCATTTCCGCCTTCAAGGGTCTGTACTTCGAGGAGGGTCTCAGGGAGGGCCTGTGTGCTCAGTGACGACCCCCCCCACCACTCTCTTTGAAGTTGCGTGTTTTTTTTTCCCTGGCTATGGTGGGTGTTAGGGTCCAGACTAGCTGTTTTGTCTGAGCGCAAAGGTCAGAACTTCAAAACTGGGTGGCAGGGATGGGGAGGGGCCGCTCTCCTCCTCCTTGTCTGTGCCTTTGGGTGCTGACACTGCAGTCATTTCCGCCCTCCCTCGGCTTCCTCCCCCACCTTGGTTTGTTCTTCCTTCCTGTGTAAAAACCCCAGCCAGCTCTGCCCGCCGGCCCTGCAGCCCCTGGCTGGGGCCATCCTGGGCCCGGGACGGTCAGCAGTGTCTAACTGTGGCGAGGCTGGGTGTACAGAGTGGGTGGTGGGTCGCCAGGCCCCCTGGGACCTGTGGCCAGGGAACAGACCTCAGTTTCCTGCCTGGCTGAGCCATAGACCTGCAGCCTGTGTGGCTCTGGGCTTGCGGGGAGGCTGCCTCTGGGGCTCTGGGCCCCTGGGCCCGTGGGGGAGGGGCACCGCCGTGAGCCAGAGCTCGGAACATGCAGACGGGCGCACAGGGTATCGGGGCACAGGGCCGCAGGCAGTGCCCAGCCCGCTGGACCAGGAGACCCTACAAGTGAAGGAATGAGCAAGCAGCTGTCTTCACGTCTGGAATGGGAAAGGGTTGGTGTGCTGCCCAGGTGTCACTGGCTGAGGCCTCGGAGGGCGTGGGGTTCAGAGTGGCCCAACTGGCATCCTCCCCTGTGCTTCCCATCCCACTTCCACCTGGCCCCCTTGCCAGGACACTCTCAGAAGTTGGCTGGGCTGTGCTTAGAGTAAGCTCCAGCGATGGCACAGGTGGTTTCAGAAGCCAGGGCCCCAGCCCAGAGGACTGGCCATGCCCAAGACCGTGGCTTTCAAACTTTGACTGCAACCTACAACAGGAAATACATTTCACATCGTGGCCGCCCCCCCCCCCCATCCTGCCCCGCCTCGCCAGACGGGCCCGCTTATTTATTTAGAAAGAGAACAGACTCATAACTTTCATAAAAGAGTCCTTACTCCTGGAGGGTATTCGCATACTTTCTATTTCACTTTATGAAGAGACTGGTGGCAGACTTCCCTGAAAGGCTTTCACAATTACGGGGTTGACCGGCAGCTTGAAACTCAAGGGTTGGGGAAACAGAGGGAGGGCTTCCCTCCGCTGGGAGGAGGATGTGCCTCCCGGGGCTGTAATCGCACCCCTCCCCCACCCCCTCTTTTACAAATCAGGGCCTGGCCAGAGGGAAAGGGGAAGAGGGGGTTTGTATCTTACAGCTCACCAGGGGAAAGCTCACCAGGGGAAAACCGGAGGCAGGGGGAAGCCTTGGGTGATGGGGAAGAGCCGGAAGGGCTCACGAAGCTGCAATCTTGCCTCTTCGGCTTCTCTGGCTTTTCACCGTGAAGACTCTTGTCTTTTATCACTGACCTTGCTCCCTAGCAATGACCCCAATCCCCGGATCCCTTCACTCATTGTTTCCAGCCTGTGGGTCTGAGCCCCTGCCGGGGGCGGGGGGGGGGGGGCCGGTGTCAGCGGGGGTGGGCGATGACAGGCAAGCCCAGTCGTGCCTGCCTCCCTATCTGGAAGGCTTCCAGAATATTTCACACCCAAACTACACACCTGTTCTTCTTCCCTTCCCCTACCCACCAGTTATTGGAGGTGTTAGTGTCTGAAGAGACATGGTAACCGAACTCACTGTGGCCAAGACATTCACACCTACGGAGATAACCATCTTTTCATTAACCGCAGGGCTGCAATTAGCTGATTGTCCTCTGCTCTGAGGTGGGGGAGATGAATTGAACCTGACCTGGTTCTGCTTTTGCAGCTTTAGCTGGGGCCTGTGAGGTGTGACCGCAAGCCTAGAAGACTGTTGGTTGTAGCGAATGCAGCCCGAGTCTGGCAGGTGTGGGTCTCCCGACAGCTGTCCTAGAATCACTGGAGAAGGCTCATTGAAAATGCAGGCTCCCAGGCCCCCTTTCCTAGGCTGCCTGAATCAGCATCTCTAGGAGTGGGGCCCAGGAACCAGCATTTGAACACATTCCTTGGGTGACTTTGGTGCTCAGTGGCGTTTGAGAACCATCACTGAAGAGTCTAAAGAATCTTGGGTGAATCCTGAGTCAGAGTGTGCCCGGCCCAGCTGCAACCCATGACTCCCAGGGACCTTACACCCGGCTTAGGGCCATCGGTCACTTGTCCCACCTCCAGAGGGTTTGGGGAAGGATGGTGTTACCCCAAATAGTGGGTGTGTGTGTGTGTGTGGCGTTTATATATAGTCCCTCTGTGACTCCTGGCTGTTTCCAGAGATAAAACCATTTTTCGAAGACGTGATCGGCCTCCCTGGAGGAAGGCGCTGCAGACGAGAGGGCTGACCAGTGAGCGCCCTTTAAAAATAGGTGCCTGGCCTGCCCGGGCGGTGTTTAAACGCGTTGGAGGCGTGTGGTCTGCCGCCCTTCCTGCCGGGAAGCAAGAGGGGGACGTGAGAAGAGCCGGTGAGAGCGGAACCCCGGCTTCTGGCGTTCCAGGGCCGGCCAGGCCCCGCGGAGCCTCGGTTTGTTCTGCTGTAAAAATGGGGGCCCTAGAAGTGGTTGCCAGGAAAACGTCAAGGGGTTGGCATTTGGTAAATATTGTCTGTTATTATCACTTTAGAGGTGGCCCTGTTTGCTTTCTGTGTTGTGGCTAAGGGACGGGGGTAAAGTTTGGCTGCAAAGTTGGGCCATTGTCTAATACGCGGAATGTGTGGAAAAATTAAGAGGCAAGATACTCGTAAGTCACACATCCGGTGAGTAGTCGTGTCTTTAGGAAAGGCATCTGAAGGCCTGAGAGGCCAGAGGCGCGTGCTGCGGGGTGAAACGTGTCCTTCCAGAACCCTGGCCTTCGGCCCTGAGCCCTAGTGGCTGTGCAGATGGGACACTTGAATTGCTGAGGCCCCTTTGTGGGAGCCACTGCCTTCAAATAGAGAAGCTGTGCTTTTATTTACCTACAGATGTATTTGCGTATTGATTTTCTGTATACAACTTTACGTCCTTTAATTTTTCGAAATATAACTCTCAGTGAGCATGCAGGAAACCCTGTGCGTGTACTCACCATGCAAGTCAAGAAACTGAGCGCCGTGGCACCCCCATCAGAGTTGTCGCAGTGTTAAAAATAAAAACAAAAAACATCTCTTTTGTGGTGAGCATCTACCGTGTATTTAACTTATTTATGAGGAACCAGCTGGAGGATGCGACAGGCAGAGGTGCTGCCTACTCAGGAAAGAAAGTGCTGGATACAGTTTGGTACAGAACCGGTTCGTGTCCTGCAGGACCGTAAACCCATGAACTTCAGAGATGTCCTTGTGACGGGCAGAAATCCTTTGCATTTCCATTAGACGAAGATAATTAGCAGCTTATATTCCATAGGTTAGCATCAGCCTTGACAGCCCGGGCCTAAGTGGTAGAAGACAGTGACGTCGAACAAAATTCTAGCCCCAGAGTCGAGTGGCCTGAAGGCGGGCTTGCTGTACAGTCCTGTAGTGTAATGTTTCAAAGTGTGTGCCGGTCTGCAGAGTTTTAATAGGTAACTCTGCATTTCTAAACGCTGTGGTTTTGTTTGAACTGATACTGTACCTGTAGCAGGTATTCCTCTGTAACTCACTTCTTTTGGGCAACATTGGGCTTAGAGATTCATCTCCACATTCGCATGGAGTTGTGGGGCCTCCTTTTTCTTTACTGTATAGTATTCCATTTCAGGCTTATACCACTTTTTATTGATTCTGGTGGACATTTGGAACGTTTCCTTGCACTATGTACATCCTCACACAAGGTGCTCCCTGGCTGTCTCCCAGCATGCCCTCCTGCCCTCTCCTAGCACGCTCCCCAGCTCTCTCCTGAAATAAAATATATAAAGGGAGGGAGGAAAGACAAAAAGGAAGGAAGGAAAGAGAGAGCCACCCTCATTCGTATTTCCTAGTGTGCGTGTGGAGTGGGACTGCTGGGTCTTCCTTCAGCCTTACGGATAATACCGGACCGTCTTCCAAGCAGCTGCACTGACCTCCTCCCCGCAGCGCTGAGGGTTCCCACTGATCTGCGCCCTTGGGCTTGTCCGTCTTAACCATTTTCACTGTATGTGGTGGTGTCTCCCGGTGGTTTTAACTCCCCTGTCTCTGACTACTAGTGAGCCTGAGCACAGATTTCCATTTGCTTTTAAGGACAGAATACGGTTAGTTTCCGACAGGGAGCTGTGTTCATGGTGACTGAGAACTCGGGATCTGATGAGAGAGTTGGGCTCTGGCTTACCCACCTTGGAACCGTCTCTCGCGCCTTGGGGGTGAGAATAGACGTTTGTCTCGGGCTGACTGAGAAAAGGAGATGAATCAAGCACACACGGGCACCAATTAGGCCCCCAACACATGGAAGCCGTTGTAAAAATAGACCCTGGCCGGTGAGCTGGTTGTTCCGTCCGAAGCCCTGTGGTGCCCCCCTCGTCAGCCGTGATGCAGAGTCATGTGGGAGCGGCGCGTGGGGTCCGGCCTTCGTCTTTGCCACCATCGGAGCAGGGGGCTCAGGAAAAAGAGGACGTCAGGTGGCAGAGAAAGTGTGTTTTCTTCAGTTTCGGGGTGGACCCTGCAGTCCTGGCCAGCGGCGGCCCGGGTGGGTGGGCAGAGCCCCTAGGTTCGGACCCCGTTCATGTGGGTGTCAGGGCACCGTCAGAGGAGCGTGGGTGTCCTCCCACGGCGGCCACGACGCTCCTTCAGCTGGGGCTCTGCTGCCGTTGCTGGACTTTGGGTGACCTCCATGGGGGCTCTTAGAAGATCAGAACTTTGAAGAGCCTGGAGCAGGCATGAGCCAGGCCCTTGGAATCTAGAAAATGTTGCTTTTCCTTTCGGATGTGCTAACAGCCTTTAATGTGCCCATTTGCTTCTCAAACCATTAGGTCCGTGGGCAAAGCAGGGGAAAGCAGTGACGCAGTTCCCTCCTGGCTGGGGAGGGGACGGGGGGCCAGGGGAGGGGACCACACCGCACTGACGCTTTATCCAGGTGCCCAGGCAGAAGCGAGCTGCAGCCTCACCCCTCTCCCTCCGCTGCTGCCTCTGTGCGCCTGTCCTGAGTTTCCATGCCTGGTGTCCTCTTCTCCCAAAGTTAGCGTGACCTTGGGATTGTCATCTCCTCTGAGACTGAGAGGGTGCCGTTCGTGTTTATGCCAGAACGGGAGACGTGAACCAGGACTAGGGGCAGATGCGGGCATGTGGCCGCCTGGCCCCGCGCTTGTGCTCAGGAAGGGCCTGTCTGGCTGTGACTTTGTCCTCATGTGCCCAGCCGCAGGAAGTCATTTAACTTCCGCGTTCCATTGTCCTTTTCTGTAAAGTGGGAATTAAGGTGGACCTGTCCGACTTACTCCTTAGGGTGATTGTCACTCAGGCCAAGGGAGGTGATGTGCAAAGAGCCTTGAAAAACTTGCGAGCAGATGTGAAGGTCATTACTAGTAACAGTAACAGGTGGTTTCCGCATCCGTGGGGAGAGGGATCTTTCATGGTCAGGCTGCCAGCGCGTCACCCACCTGGGTCGGCTGGCTCTAATTTTATCAATATTTGTCCACGTATAGTGTCTTTTTAGGGAGCAAGATCGAGCCCACCAGCCAGCACTTGCTTTCCGCTCTCGGGTTTCGTTAGGTTCCTAGGGCTGACCTGGGAGCACACGGCACCGTGGTGCCACATACAGATGAGGAAACTGAGGCCCGGGAGGGAGGGCCCCTCCCAAGGTCACACGAGTAAGTGAAGGGCTCATGATCTCTCGGGGCTGAGACAGGAGAGGGACGCTGGGGCCTGTGACGAGGACCGAGTCTGTGGGACACGGACAGGGGATGGCACCAGGCCTTGGCTCCTACAGGGAGACGTGCGCTCTCCCCTGGGGCTCTCTGTTGCCCCCGCCCCCCCACTACTGCAGGTAGTCACGTTCGGAGGAGGGGCCTATTGCCCAGGGTCACCGGGCCCCCAGCATCAGGGGTACCTGTCCCCCAGCCCCCCTCCCGGCACCCTCGGGGCCCATGCAGGCCTCTGTCCGCCTCCACATATGCCCTTGCCCTCCCCGTCATCGGCTCCGGTCCGGCCTCTTTCCATTAACAGAAAGTAAACACAGGAAGCTGACCTTCCCCACTCGCAGGACAAAAGTCATAAGGGCAGTTGCCTTGTGAGCCTAGAGGCCTCGGGAGGGGTGAACCCTCTGCTTGTTCCCTCGACCTGTCGACCGATCTCTGGACAGGGCTCACTGAGGGGGTGGGGCTAGGGAGACTCACCCTTGGGTGCTCTTCTGCGAGGGAGTTCAGAGATCTGATGAGTGTTCAGCCTGGCCAGGGCTGGCTCTGCCCCCTCAGGAATAGGCTCAGCCTGTGATTTCTCCGTTTGGGTGTGGGGCCCTGCTTGGGCGGAAAGGGGAAGGGCAGGAGAAGGAGAGGGCTGGTCTGACCCAAACGCCTAAGTGAGGTGCTCTCGGCCTCCAGCCTGGACCTGTCCAGAGCGTTGCTGCTGCCAGCCTGCCCTCCTAGCCCGGGCCGCAGCAAGGAACCATCATCTGAGCTGGCAGAAGGGTACAGGTGTGCCCAGCGGCCCACACCCACAGACCTTTAGTCCAGTTACCAGTGTGTCAGCCCTGCCTGGCCCACTGTTAACTCTTGTCCTCCCTGCAAAGTTGATGCCAAGGGCGGGGAGAGAAGGCAACAGAGAAGGTGGGAATTGGTGGCCAGAGAGGCCCGCCTTGGGCTGGGCAGCTCCTCAGGCACTGGCCAGGGTTCCAGGGCACAGGGTCACTGGTCCCTTCTGCTGCAGGACAGAGGGCAGGCTTTGCCTCCCTCCCCCCGCACCTCCGTTTGCCACTGGGAGAATCCCAGGGCAGGAAGCTGGTGAAGAGGAAGTGAGACCAGCTTCTAGTCAAGTGGTCTGAGGCCTAGAGAGACTTCCAAGGCCTGGGCTGGCCTGGGCCTGCCTGGGTCAGGACTAATTTTCCTCTGTGTCCTGCCTTCCGAGTTTCCTCTGGGGGTGAGGGGGGGCTATTCTGTCACTCTCTGTCTCACTTCCTCCCCCACACCCGGCCTGGCCCGGCCCTTGTGGGCCCCTGAAACCGTGCGCCTCCCCCTGGTTGCTCTCCTCCCACCAGTTCCTCTCTGCAGAGCCAGCAGACCCGGGTCTGTGAGGTGGGCCATGGGCGACCCGCCCCTGAGATGCGGGGAGAACGCCTTAGACTTTTTGCCCTGGTTCTTTCTCATCTTCCGCTCTTTTTTTCTTCATATCTTTTGTGTACGTTTTACAATATGCTTTCCACATCTGTGACGTGCGACTCATATGTGATTTATAAAATAGACGTGATCTGGGGGGGACTGTGCTGACACATTTCACATGTTGCCGCCCAAGTGTTTGGGCAGGCAGCGGTCAGCACACTTCTCCTGTGAAGGGCCAGAGAGCACACATTTTAGGCGTGGAGGGCCAGTTGGCTTCCGTGGCGGCAGCTCAGCTCTGCAGTGATAACAGCGTGAAAGCGGCCACCGATGACAGGGACATGAGTGGGTGTGGCTGCGTCCCAATAAAACTTGACCTCTGGGCACCAACATGCGAATGTCAGAGAAAGTGCACATGTTACAAAATATTCCTTTTGGGCCCCCCACCCCCGTCATTGAAAAAATGAAGTGATGATTCTTACTCGTGGACCCCGAGCAAATGGGCCGTGGGCCCTCGGGCCAGTCCGCCGACCTCTGCTCTAGATCCCTGGTTCTCAAACGTAAGCCTGCTTCTGACCCACCTGGGGAGCTTTTAAAAAAATGCATCGTCCGGAACCCGGGCCCCGATTCTGTCTGTGCCACAGAAGGCCCTGGGACCCGCCTTCTCACAAGCAGCCCAGGTGGGCTGGAAGCAGAGCGCCGGAAGGGCAGGTTTGTGAAAACGCAAACCTGGGAGGTCCCCAGGGCCTCGGCCTGCCCAGTTCAGCCAGTTCTTGCTGTGGCCCGGGGTGTGTGATTCTTCTGGCCTCTTATTGCCCATTTTGGGGATCTGATCAGAGGGGGAATCCATCTCCAAGAGGACGTCCAGCCTGACATTTCTTGTCTCCAAAGGCTGGCGTCCTCGGGAGAGCACGCTTGGGCGCTGGCCTCCGCCGCGCATGCCCACGAGAGGCAGAACCACCTGCTGCTGATGAAGGGCACGGGCTCTGGAATTTGCATGTTCTTGGGCAACTCCCTTTGCCTTTCAGCGCCTGAGCTTCCTTCTTGTGTGGTCGTAGTCACCCCGTCATAGGTGCTGACGGGACAGATGGGCCATGACTTGGAACACCAAGCACAGTGCCTGGCACCTAGTAGGTGCTCAGTAAACAGTCACTGCTGGGGCTGCTCTTGGCCAGAGTGGAAGCAGGGCAGCCCCCCCGCCCCGTCCCTGCCATGTCCCTGCCACCAGCACGTGAAAGTGACCACTCGCATTTGTCTGGTGCTTTGGCTTACGTGGCCGTTTTCCATTGGTCATCTCATTGCCTCCTCCTGCTACCCCCGGGGTAGCCACCCAGGTCCCATTTTACAGAGGCGGAAGCTGAGGCCCGGCAGGGTCACGTGGCCTGTCCCAGCGCACACAGCTGGTGCACTCCCTCGAGAACCCGGCTTTCTCTGCCCAGAGCCCTCGGGGAGTCTCCCCTGTCCCGGGATCTTGAGTGGCAATGGGAGGGAGACTAGGTTGGTTTTCTGTGGGTCCTTTACCCAGTGCTTTTGGCCCCTTCAGATAAAATACCACGAGGAGTTTGAGAAGAGCCGCATGGGCCCCGGCGGGGGAGAGGGCATGGAGCCTGAGCGCCGAGATTCCCAGGACAGCAGCAGCTACCGGAGACACCAGGAGCAGCAGCAGCCTCACCACATCCCGAGCAGCGCCCCAGGTGGGCAGGAGGCCGGTGAGGGTAGAGGACCTGAGGCCAGGCCGCCTGCAAGATGGGGAGAAACCTCGTTCACGCACACCCTGGTCAGGTCCCATCCCGACCCCCGACCGAGGACACTAACCCGGGCACGGGCCTGTGCTGGGCGCTCCCAGTGTGATGGGGGCGGTGAGACACGCAGCCCCCGTGGCAGTGTACACAGCACCTGGAAGTGTGCGCACACAGTCGCCTCTGAGAAGTGGGGGTGCAAATACATGATATGGGCTTGGGGGGGATGGGAGAGGGCTCTGGGAGGGGCTGTTTCGGCAAGACGGTTTCCGAGCCCTGCTTTCTCGTGTCTTCCAGTTTTCCAGCAGCCCCCGCAGCAGCAGGCGGCCCCGTCCTACGGCGGAGGTTACAAGGAGCCTGCGGCCCCAGTCTCCATACAGCGCAGCGCCCCAGGCGGGGGTGGGGTGAGTAGCCCTGGCTCAAGGGTGGAGGTGGGAGGGTGAAGAACGGAGCAGTGAGGCCTGAGGCAGCCAGGGATTATTAGTAGGCCCAGGGAAGGACCCAAGGCAGAGATTTTTCTTAGAAACCCCGCCCAGGAGGCCCAGCTTGCCCTGCGTTTTGACCCCAGTTCCTTTGTCATCTGCAGCTGATACGGATCTCAGCCTCCTGGGCAGGGCTCTGGGTGGGCCCTGGGGCCCTGGGTTCCAGCTCCGCCCCCTACTTCCTCCCCCGCCCCCCCCCCCCCACACACACACAGGTTTTCTCAGTCCAGCCACCTGGGAGAGCGGACAAAGCCCTTTTCTGCTCAGGGCTTCCCGCACCTGGGTTCTGCCCCCCCACTCTTCCTGACCACCCCCATGTCCTTCAGATCTCAGCTTGCCCCTGCCTCTGGAGGGCCCCCCAAACCATCTCACGTCAAGTGGGTCTCCCCTGACATTGCTGTCACGCCACCCCAGTGGTGTCCTTCAGAGCACACTTTGCAACTGAGAACAGTTCTGTTTATTAACTTCTGTGTCCCCCGCTGGACCTGAGGCTCTGAGTGCGCAGGGCATTGCTCTGGTTCGCTTACTGCCAGCCAGGCACAGAGTGGGCCCTTGGCAGCTCTGCTGAAGGAGTGAACCAGCAGAGGAGGAAGTGAGGCGTTCTTATCAGTCCTTAGAGTTGAGGTTCCAGCCACTCACAGGTGCGGCTGAGCCACCCTGTGGAGCTCCTGGCAGAGCTCAGCTCCTCTGGGCTGCGTGCCTGGAAATTCAGAGCAGCTCATGTAGGACCAGGAGGGACAATACTTAGAGGAATAAACTAGCCAGTCCTCTTGGAGCTCATGTGCCGGTCTGAGGGTCTGAGAGACAAACAGGAAAGCAGTAAGGAGGTGTACAACGAAAGGTCAGGTGGTGGCACGTGCCGTGAAGAAAAAGACCGTAGTAGGGTAAGGGGAGAGAGAGCAGCGAAGTCCTCAGGAAAGTGAGGGAGTGAGCGGTGCAAGGCGGCCAGCAAGTGCAAAGGACCCGAGGCGGGAGGAGGCTAGGGGAGTTCGAGAACTGGCAGGACGGCTCAGGGGACCGGAGAGGGGGTGAGGGTAGGAGATGACGTCAGATCATGCAGCCACTTGTAGGCACAGGAAGGCCTTTTTGACTGTTGAGCGGTGCAGCGTGAGGGGTTTGACCTGGGTTTCTAAAAGATCGCTCCAGCCGCTGTGTTGAGAAGAGGCGAGGGCGGAAGCAGAGACGTGAGTTAGGAGGCTGTTGCCGGATACAGGCATAGATGGTGGCCACTCAGCCCAAAAGGTAGAGCCAGAGTTGGTGATAAGGGAACTCTCCTCCCATAGACTCGGGGGCTAAGGGAGTAGGGTTTTGTTGCTTGGGGGAAAAGTTTGAAGTGGAGTGCTCAAGAGGATGGGGGACTTGTGGAAGATTTGAAGCCAGGGAGTAACATGATCTGGTTTGCATTTCGGGAAGTCCCCCTGAAATCACAGTGGGTGAGCCCTGGGAGGGGGCATACCAGAGACTGGTCTGAGCAGGGGGGCCGGCAGCAGGACGGAGCAGGGGACACAGGAGGCAGTCGAGGGGCTCACCTAGCCCTGGACCCACTGGTACTGGGCCCGCTGCCAGCCCCCATGCAGGTCCCAGGGCCTGGCCCCGGGGGCCACAAGGCTGAGCTGACTCCCCCAGAGATCATTCAACGTCAAGGGCAGTAAGATTGGAGTATGCTAGAATCATGCCCGCTTTCAAGACCACAGCTGGAGTTCGTGTGCTTCCACTGGGTTTTCCTAGAGCTTTAAGCATACGACTGGCTGAGGTGCAAGGTGGAAATCTCTCATGACACCTGGAGCTTTTTCTCCCAAGAATAGGCCTTTGTCCTGAACTTGGGAATGAAGCCAGGCTTATCACAGCTTGGGGGAAAAAAAAGAAGAAAGACTGGCGTTTACAATAATACAGATAACAGTGTACAAGGAGTATCGTATTTTGAAACTAACTGGCAGTGTGTCCGTGGGACCTTGCCGCGTTCCTCTTTCAAGAGCTGGAGCTGGGCTGTTGCGACCTAGCTCCCTGGCTCGTGCCTGCCACTCAGTAGAGGCCAAATAATCGGGCGCGCACAGAAAGGGAGCCGAAGAGGCGAGAAACTTAGAGGCAGGGCCCAGCCCTTCCCTGTCCCCCAGCGCGGGCCCAGTGCTCACCCCGGCTCTGCTCAGGGGTGACCCTGGATGGTCAGGAAGGCAGGCCAGGGCGGGCCCCGGGGGGCGGGGTGCTCACTGGGCCCTGGGCTGACGGTGCCCCCGCCCCCGCAGAAGCGGTACCGCGCGGTCTACGACTACAGCGCCGCCGACGAGGACGAGGTCTCCTTCCAGGACGGGGACACCATCGTCAACGTGCAGCAGATCGACGACGGCTGGATGTACGGGACCGTGGAGCGCACCGGCGACACGGGGATGCTGCCGGCCAACTACGTGGAGGCCATCTGAGCCCACGGGCGCCGCCTCGCCCACCCTCCTCCAGTGCATTCCACGGCATCGCATCGTCCCGGGCGCGGCCCGTCCGCCCCTCAGTGTCTCTTGTGTTTTCAGCTCTGCCACAGCTTGTCTCCTCCCACCCTCCTCCAGCTGCTTTTGCCAACTGAAGCCTTGTTCTGCCACTTTCGCGGGCTCCTTCCTCTGGCAGGTTTTCCCCACGACCGATGTCTTGGTTTTCTCTCTAGACCGAACGGGTGTGGGCCTTCCTGGGGGAGGCCGAAGCCTGTGGGGCCGCCCCAGAATGGGGGTCCTGTGGGCTCCCAGGCCTCTACCTTCTCTCTCTGTTCTGGCCGCTCGGACCCTCCCGCCCACCACCTCACACACCTGAACATTCCAGGCTGGGGTGAGCCCCAGACCCCCAGGCCTCCCAGGGCAGGAACTCCATACATTCCCCGGAGGGGGGTCCTGCGCCCTTGCCCCTGGGGTGGGTCGGGTGGGGGGCTGCCACTGTGTAGGCTCCAGTGAGAGGGCTTTCCCTGAAAGATGGGGCTGCTGGCCCTCTGAGGGGTCCCTCGCCACCCTCTCCCCTTCTCAGAGACAGCAGAGGAGGGTGCAGTTCCCACTCTGGGGCCCATGTCTCCTCACACGGTTCCTCCGCACACTGTGATTTCGCTCTCCTGCGCCCGCAGACGGGTGTGGGCTCGGAGCTCCCCAGGAAGCACGGCCTGGATCAAGTCCTGGCCCTTCTCACTTGTAGGGACAGCTGCAGGAAAGGAGGGAACAGGGTGTTCTCTCCCAGAGCCCTTTTTTTCCTCACTCTCCCAACCCCCAGGGACCCAGCTTGCCTCCTTGAGTGGAGGCTGTGGTCCTCACAGGTGAGGCAAGGAAGCCTTGGGCCTTCGGCCTTTGAGGCTCAGCCCCCCGCCCCCATCTGGGCCAGGTGGGCCACTCCTCGTGGGAGGATGTCCTCCCCGTGGCCTCCCCTCCCCCACCCGTTCCCCAGTGGACTAGAACTGTGCGAAGCCACAGGGTCTTCCGTATCTCCGGGACTGGGCGTGTGGGGGGAGAAGTGTGTGTGTCTGTAAGTGTGTGAGCCAGCGTGAGTGTGAGCGAAGGGGCAGGGTGCGGGCTGCAGGAGTCTGTGGGCTTACGTGGGGGTACACAGAACGGTTCTCCCCGATACTTCCTCAAAACCCACAGAGGCGGGGGAGGGGAGGCCCTAGGGGAGAGAAGTCCCTTCATTTTCTTCGGAATGAAAATTCCTCCTTCTGTCCAGGAATGGAGGCGGCCCACCTACCCTTCTCACAGTGGGCTGGGCAGAAGTGAGGGCATGATGGGAGATGGGTGGGGGCAGGCACCGCAGCTCCGGGCACGCTCTCATCTGCTGTCTCCGTGTCCCGCGCTGCAGAACAGGCGCCGGAGGACCCTGCGTTACCCACGCTGTGGGTGCCTTACTCTGGGTGCTCTCACCCCAGTCCTCTCCCTTACCTAACTAAAGCCCCCTTGAGGTGTTGGGAGAGGGTCCCAGGGCTACAAAACTGGACGCACAGACCCTGGGATGAGGAAGGGAGAGTGGTGCTATCTCCAAGTCCCTTCTGTCCCTCGCTGGAGGCTGCGACAACCCTGTCCTGGCTTTATTCATCTCCGGGCTTTCTCATTACCCTCTGGGCCTCCCCCTCCCACCTCCACCCTGAGCCACTCGGGCCCCATAGGGACAACTTTGCATCCTCTCACCCTGCTGCTGGCCGTGGGCTGCAGGCACAATCAGCAAGTCCTTGCTGCTTGTGAGTCAAGTTGGGAATACTTACCCCAAACCAGAGAACTTAGGAAATGACTGTGGGCGGGGGGAGCCCCTGCCTGACCAAGCACCCCTTTTCCTGCTTGGCCTCAGCCAGGTGAGGGCAGAGGGAGGGTCTCGTACTAGGTGGTTTGGGGGATGAGGGAGCAATATTGGGAGCCTTGGGAGAGGCACTGGGTCATCCCATTTCCTCTTGATCTCAGAGCACAACGTGGATTGTGGGACCAAAGGTCAAAGATGCGCCCTGCAGAGGACCCGTGGTCTGGAGCGGGGAGGAGGGGCAACGAGCAGCCTTTAAACCCAGCTTCACTTCCCTTCCAAAGCAAGGCCGGCCGGCCACTGGAATCTTGCTGCCGGCCCTCTGCTCCTCCCATCCTAAAAATAGGGGGCCTTTTCTTACACACCCCAGAGAGAGGAGGGACTGTCACACTGGTGCTGAGGGACCCAGGGGCTGCTGGGAGTCCCGTTCCTTTCCAGAACCATCCATCCCTAAAAAGAGCACAGAAGCGGGGACTGGGCGGAGGCCCAGGTCGTCTTCTCATAGTTCACAGAGGTCTTTCAGCCCGTGTCCCAGGAAAGGAGATACATCAAAGCTAGAATGCGAACATAACGTTAGTGGACCAATGACAAAGTGCAAGAAGCCCAATGGTGAGAAAGTGAGTTTTCTCAACACTGCTTCCTGTTTTCTTCCTCATGTCCCTCCAGGGAAAACTGTTGCTTAATTTCTGCCTTTTTTCCTCTTCACATAAGCACTTTTGGGCCTCCCCCCCTTTTTTTTTAATAGCTGGAAAATGCCACCCACAGACCTGTATTTAAAAAGAAACAGAAATGACCACGTGAAACTTGCCTCTGTCCAAACATTTCATCCGTGTGTGTGAGCCGTCACTCATCCTTTTATATGGGGTGGTTGTCTCTTCCCGGTCTGTCTGGGCCCCTCCCTCCCTCGTGGGCTTGTGCTTGGGATCAAACCCTTCTGGCCTGTTATGATTCCGAACATTTGACTTGGACCACAAGTGAATCTGAATCTGGTGACTCAAATAAAAGTATAATTTTTACCTCCGGACTTCGTTTTCTCTCTGGCTCAGACGTGCAGCTGGTGTGTGTGCCGTCTGTTTGGGGGCGTTGGCCTGTCACTCTCCCGGGAGCCCCGCCATCCTTCAGGGAGAGACCAGTTTGGAAGCTGTCAGCCTAGAGTGGCAATTTGCCTTGGCACGCACTCCCTGCTTATTCGTGGAGGACTCCCCACCGGTCTGCTCTGGCTACATCTGTCTGCCCAACTTGCGGACACACTCAGAAACCTCCCAGAGTTCCTGTACTCCCCGATTCTCTCCCCTCGAGCCAGGGCACTCCCGGGGCAGGTAGCCGGTCTGATTCATTTTAACCCCTCAGAGCTCGCACAGGGCCAGGCACAGCTGCTCAGCCAATATTTGTTGAATTAACGAATGAGCTCAGCAGTCAGGCAGGCAGTGTCAGCTCTCTGCCTGCCCATGGGAGGGACTCGGCGCATCCTCGAGGAAGGAAATGATGGAGAGACCGGGACAGTCTGCAGTGGGATAAGACGGAGGAAGCCGTCTGCTGGGTGGGCTGAGGAACCAAAGCAGTACTCGTGATACCTTATCAATGTGACCTTGAACACAGGTTTTTTTATTTGATCTCATTAGTGTGATACATTATGGATGTGATTTTGAACACAGGTGTTTTTTTTTATTTAATTTACTTATTTAAGGGAAGGGAGGGTGAAAGAGAGAGAAACATCAATGTGCGGTTGCTGGGTGCCGTGGCCTGCAACCCAAGCATGTGCCCTGACTGGGAATCGAACCTGTAATGCTTTGGTTCGCAGCCCACACTTAATCCACTGAGCTACACCAGCCAGGGCTTGAACACAGGTTTTTTATTTGATCTTATTAGCGTGATACCATATGAATATGACCTTCCACACAGGTTTTTTAAATTTGATCTTATTAGCCCTACGAGAGAAGTAACTACCGCGATGTCCATCTTATAGAAAGGGTTCACTGAAACCCATAAAGTTGGTGGGAGTCACACAGCTGGACCGGAGGTCCAGGGCTGGAGGCCTTAGGAACCACGGTGTGATGCTTGCAGCCTCCTGCCACCTTGCTGGGGTGGGCTGTGCACCTGTGGCCCCTTCACCTCTCATCGTGTTATCTCCTGAGCTCTGTCCTTCGCTCCAGGGCCCTGGGTCTAACCTCGGACTGGAAGGCCAGGAGGCCTTCTTCCTTCTGTCGGGCTGGGAAGGGGGCGGTGGTAGAGAAGGAATCCAGACCCTTCCGCCCTGGCTCAGGGCGACCAGTCCGTCCAATGTTCGGTTGTTTGTGGGGAGACATTTCCCGCTTGGTGCTCAGAAATGAAGGCATTCTCTAGCTTCAGGACAACAGCAGGGTGGAGAAGAAAAGGGCTTCCCCGAACTGAGCTGGAATCGCGCTTTCCTAATCAAGGGAGTGATAACAATCAGGAGAGTGACGGGCAGGCCTGTGTGTCCGCAGGGCTGAGCAGCGTGGAGAGTGTCAGGCCGCCCTGGGTGGGATAATTAAAGACAATACCGACACCTGCTTCTCTTCTGAACGCGCCGGCTGCCTAATATTTTCCCACCAGGAGGGAATGAGTTGGCAAATCTTGCCTCTGGTAGGCCTGCCCCCCTTTTGTCTGGGAGCTGCAGCCCCCTCTCCCCCGGAGGCTCCATTCACCTGAGCAGTTGGAGGGCACAGCCTGCCTGGGGTGGGGGGTTGGGGGGCGGGTAAGCACTCTGCCTCCCGGGGATGGGCCAGTGGGAGGAGCTGCTAGGCCCTCTTCTACCAGCAAGAGGAGGGGAGATAACTAATTCTTCACCCCAGACCCTTCAAAAGAGTAATTTGGAGACACAGCCATGGACACTAGGCCTCAGAGATGTCACAGGAAATGTTTTAATTTAGTGGGAAGTAATTAAAACATAAAAAGGCATAAAAGCAACACAATACATAACTGAATACACTACCCAGCATAAAAAAATAAAATGTCACTTTTTTTTTTCCCTTTCCCCTCAGAAGAAGCCACTTAAATTTGCCTTTCTAGACTCTGGTACTGCACAGGGATGGGCCTGCGAACCCTTTGGTGCCCTCTCTAGACGGGACACCACGGGGGGGCTCTCTGGAGGGGATACAAAAGGGGACGAGAACGTGGGTAATGACCGGAAGAGGCGAGGAATAGCGGCGGAGGAGAGACCTTTGGGGCTCACACTGTAAACGGAGCGACCTGCACCCAAACACCTCCCAACCCGAGCAGGGCTGCAGGACGGCCGTCTGGGCAAGAGGGAACAATATGGACTCTGGAGTGTGCGAGCCGTGTTTTGATTCTTGGTCTCTGCCATCCCCAGCAAAACATCAGGCCAGCTCCCGACCATCTCTGAGCCTCCTCTATAGAAGATGGGTAGGGAGGTTGAAGTTACACCACGTGCAGTATCCACTGCAGTCTAGGAACCCCTAAGTGTGAGCTCCATCCCAGGGATGCCGGCGGAGACTCACGGGGGACCCTTACAACTTGCCAACAGCTCACCCAACTCCCAACCATTGTTCTTCTGAGATCGTTTGCTGTGATGCGTGAGAAGAAAAGGAAGACAGGCAGTCAGGAAGCTTCATTCCTAAGGGATCTGGGTAGAGATCAGGTCTCCTCCTGAGTCCACGTCATGCCGACTCCACTTAGATACAAAGGGGTGGCATTGGGTTCCTGGGGAGAAATTGAGCCTCTTCAGTTCTGCCTGGTCTCAATGAGCAGTTTCTCGGTTACCCGCTGCCAGGCTCTATGATTGGTTGGCTGTGGGATGTTGGGGGACGAGGGGGGAGGAGAGAAGTAAGCTGTTGATGGAGCTGCAGCATCCCTTACTATCCCCCTTGGAAGGGGGAGGGGGAAAACGAGGGCTGAGCCGCGGAGGGAGGAGGGTGGGAGCCATTTCTCTCCGCTGGCTGCAACCTCCGCGCTCACAGCTTACATTTCCCTGGAATCCAGAGGCCTCCCGGCCAAAGGCCTCCATCATGCTGGATATCTTCATCCTGATGTTCTTTGCCATCATCGGCCTGGTCATCCTCTCCTACATTATCTATCTGCTGTAGTGGCCTGCAGCTGCGGCGGACCCCGCAGCACAGCTCAGCGGCGAAGGATGAAGCTGAGTGGCCGAGCCTCCTGCTTGCTGACGCACCGGTGGATTTTTGCTTCTGGTCATTATTTCGGGTATTGATTCAAAAACAAAATTAAAAGAGGTCTTGTTTTTTTCTATTTTTTTTTCTCAGATGCGTTGATGTAACACTTCTCAGACCACTCAGGAAAGAATAAGAACTGCCAACGTTTTCCTTGCGACCATAATTTAAAATGATTTTTGAAGTGAAAAAATGAAACCCATACTGCGAAGCCTTTTTAAATAGAATGGGCAGGGAGTGGTGTGCATGATGGGAGGGGCTATAATTTTGTAGCTTTTTTCCTTCAAGTTGCTCTAACTCCGAAGTAGTCCATTCTCTGCCCGTAAGTAAAGAGAAAGACCTCTTACATGCCCACCCGAGTGGTTTACAATTACGCTTACCGAATTGCATTAATTAGTGACTCATTCTCACTTGAGGATGAGATAGGAAATGAAATTTACTTGGGAGTGGGGTTCTGGGGAGAGATTTCCGTTCTTTCCCAACCGTGGGCTTTGACCGAAAGGAGAGAGGAACCCCCAGTTCTTTTCTTAGTCCCCAGAGGCTGAGACCAGTGGTCGGAACGGAGCCCTTTGCTGCCATTCCCGTCTGAGCCTTGTCGTTTCTGGGTCTCCCACAGCTCCCGCTCGCCCGTCCGACAGGATGCCTGTATCAACAGCAGCAGACCTGCCGCCCAGCAGACGTCCTCCAGAGCCTTCCGGATACGGTTAGCCCCTGTCAAGCAAGGGGCTATTTCGGCTCAGAGGCTGAGGCACGAGGCTGGGACCTCAGGAACTCCTGGGCACGGCTGGCAGGTGCTGCGTCCGTTTGAGCTGTAAGTGGAGGGTGCGGAGAAAGAACAGAGAGCTGAAATGTAGACTCGTTACAATTATCATGGAGAACTTCTCAAAATTCATTTTGATTGCCTTTCCTTAAGTCGTTCCTTTCCCTCACACGAAGGCGTTTTTTTTAAGTCCAAGAGCACATTGCCTCTCTCGCGGTGGCCACTTTATCGCTCTGTCTTTATGGCCTGCACACTGCGGGGTTATGTGTTTCCCTTGTCTTTGTCTCTAGCCCAAAGCAACTTGTCATCTGAGTTTTTAAGATTTATTTTTCCTTCTCCCTGTCACTTGTGCTCCAGCTTCTCATGCAAAGAGAGAAACAGTTATATAGTCCTCATTCTCTGTGCCTGCTGAGTTATAAATTATTGAAACAAGATGGCTATACCTATCTTGTTATTTGGGGAAAAAATCTGTTACCCAAAAAATAAATGCTTTTCAAGTTGTTGAATGTTCCTTTTATGGAAAAATAATAATTTCAACATATTTTCTGTCCAATAAAGGTTGAAGAAACATATATTTGGGAGTCCAGAGGAGACTTGGGCCCCAAACCTGTGGTATCTCTCCCTTTGAAAAATCCATCACAATTGTTGTACATTTGATTTTCTAGCTTAAAAATAAACAAGATGAACTTAACAGTTTTTATTCATAACATGGTGTTCAATTCCCATGTTTTAAAAAGAAATAAAATTAAGACAGTGTAATATAATGTCACAAAATGAAAAACCTGCATTTTAGAATTCTGGCCAATGAAAGACACTGTTCTAGAAGCTTTGTCTTGGCAACAAATTGCACGACCTTCAATAAGTCATTGACCCTTTCAGGGTTTCATTTTATTCTGACAAATGAGAGGGACGGACTAGAAAATTGTTAATGTCTTTTTCCATTTTAAAATTCTACAATTCTAAGATGTGTTATCTTTGGAAACAACATCTTTGAGAAGAGAAATCCCATGGAGAAACAACACTTAATAGTTACCTGTAGTCCACTTTTCTGCTCTCCCCAAATGATATTTTATGATGAAAACTCAACTGCAAAACTCTTTTTTTTGGC